GAACGGTCACCACCCGTGACCTTTGCCAGCCTCCAATCACCCCCGTGACTTTTGGCAAAATTCCGACCACCACCTCTGGCAACTCCCTATTGCTTGAGTACGGACAATGTAAAATTTTAATTGTTCTAACAAAATGGGATCATTAGCTTGTTCTTAATTGCGGAATGCCTAATCAAAATCGTTATAACAAATAGCAAAGAATAACAACTAAACAACATTTATAAATCACACACATAAGAACTCAATTTGCATAATTCACCTCAAAACTAAGATTATGTCTGCAGTTTCACCATAATCCGCAAGAGTTTCAAACAACACATAAAAGAGAATCACACACCTCAGGTACATGTACATATAGTTAGGATTTACATATCACAAATGTCAAAACAACAAAATGCCAAAATCGAGTGATTAGTGTCCTGTTATCAAATAAATCAAGAATATTGGGTCAACATCATAGAAAGCCAGGCAATCTCAAGGACTATTGTTGAATGAATTCCCAACAAACATATTATATGTTTCTCCAAATTCAAAATTTTTAGAACCTAATCATGTTCATTTTTTTTTTTATTCAAAAAAAAAATGAATATGATTAGGTTCTAATCATATTCATTCAATAATAATCATATTCATGGAAGGAACAGAATGGATTTGAAAAAGGATGAGAGAGGGAAAAAAGAAATTAAAAAAAAAGAAGAAGAAGAAGAAAAGAAAAGGGGGCTTCAGAACCTACCTGGCTAAATCTAACAATGCTTTATAACTCAAAAAGAAGGCTCCATGAAGATTGATGTTCAAAAGCTAAAGCTCAATTGGCTTGACTAATTAAAGTTAGCTGAATTAATTTATGAGGCTTTTGACAAAGTTAAAGGAAATAATAATAAAGAAGATAATTTTAAATTTAAAAAAATAAATAATAATAATAATAAAAGGGAAGAAGAAGAAGAAAAGGAAGAAAAAGAAAGAAAGAAAGGGTAAGCATCCAAAGTTTTTTGTAGTTTTGGCTTGAGAATAGGGACCATCATTGGAATACAATATCAGGAATCAGGATCTCTTTTGGCTCCTTCCATTTCAGCTTCATCTTGTGGATTATAGTAGTCATTTTTTTCCCTCCTCAATATATGTTAAATTGCTAATTATCATCTCATCTAAAAATTTAAATAATTTAATACCATATTAATCTATTGACTAAGGGTTGGCATCAGACCAGACAGGGCTATACAAATGGTGCCCAAGCCCGCCCGGAAGCTAAGCCTAGCGGACTTTTTTTTGACAAGCCAAATCAAGCCATAGGCTAAAACTTTAAGTCCAAACACTACCCAACAGGCTTGGCCTAGACAGATCGACAGGCCACCTCTCATGGGCCAACGAGTTGGGCTAGTAGCCTTAGCCCAGTAGCTCGAGATTCAAGCCTTTTTTCATATTTTGTTTCATGCTCACAAGCCAAACCATCGAGGCCCCTCTCCCGGGCCAACAGGCTAGGTTGCCTGTTTGCCCAACGAGTTGGGCTTTGAACCCTAGGCCCAAGCCTCATTTGGGTTGGGCCAGCCTACCCATGGTACAAGTTTGAACCAGATAAAAGCCCTCCAGGATGGGTGGGCTTGGATCGAGCCACGGACTATCAAACCAAATGATTATCTTTGTTACTAACTACCATCTTATCTAAAAACTTGGTTCATGTTTGTTAGGACAAACTGGATTAGATGGGATTAGTATGCTTAGAACTGTTAGTCCTAGAATTATCAATCTATTTGGATTGTGTATCGTATCCCATGTTTGGATTGGCTTAGGACTATGAGAAATGTTTGACAAAATCCTATCAATTTGATAATTTAACTAATTAGTCTAAATTTCAACTTAGTTCCCCATTTTGTATCCCACCCCTCTCTTGAGATTCAATAGCTATGTCTAAATGAACTATTAGTTTGGATCCCAATTTTCTTTGCCAAACATCGGATTATGCATTCTGTGAGATTATTATTTCAATCCCAAAGCCATGTCTGCCCAAACAAAATGACCTTAATTTCTAAGATAGATGAATAATTTTATTATTTATATATTCAAATTCACAACAATATGTGTTTTTTATTTTGCAAAAAAAGTAGAAGTAAAAGTAGCTTATGATTTGGTTGCGGCCTAAAAGCTTAGTGCAAGTCACTATGCAAGTATGCATTGCATTATTGGATTAGGTTTAGGCTATAAATGGTGTAGAGGTCCAACTTAAACAAGTTTTATATGTAACCTATAACCCCACCTAAAAGCTGCAAGTCACTATGCAAGTATGCATTGCATTGTTGGATTAGGTTTAGGATATAAATGGTGTAGAGGTCCAACTTAAACAAGTTTTATATGCAACCTATAACCCCACGTAAGTAGTGCATTAAATTTGCAACCCAACACCAAATGGTTAGATTAGGAATAGGTGGGTACTAATATGGAGAAGGCATAACAAGTTCCTAATCAAAATTTCCTAAATAACACAAATCCTACATTAGAAGAATAAAAGAGGATGAGTTTCTATATAAAGTCCCAACATAGTCTCTTCAGGAATGTGTCATCTACTCGAAGTTGCAGCTTGAGCTTAGTAATTACAATCCATATGCTCATAACGTTTACATAAAATTCATATGTTTGATTTCAGCAAAATATCTTTTTTAATTAAAAAAAACTTTTTCAGTTAAAAAAATATTAAGTTTAGTTGTGACTTTTACTAGTGATTGTATTAATTAGTGGTGATGTTCATGATGATAGTGGTGTAGTGGAGGTAGTTATAGTTATAGTTACAGTGATGGTGTGGGCAGTGGAAGCGGCCGATCCCGCGGACAAAATTTTCGTAAATTGGCAGATTGAAGTGTTTGTGTGGTAAGTGAGGTGGTGGGTGGTGGTGGTTGTTAGAGCTAAGCAAAAAAATCAACAAAACTGCCAACGAATCAAATTCAGATCAAATCGTAAGGTTTAGTTTGATTTTCTCAATACATGGCTTGGTCTTAATTCTTAAAATATGCAAAATGTATTTGACGGTTCGGTCTGTAATTTTATAAGTTCAGTTTGGAACTAAACCGTTTAGATATATACATATATATAATTGGTTGGTACTATAAACACTCAAATATATTAGTATCAAATATTAATACATAGAATTTAGTTTTTTCCGTGTTCACATCTCAATATGAGAGAACTTGAGAGGGCCGTGGGTCTCACCATGTGTCCCGTTTTGATGATTTAAACCGTTCATTTTGTAGAGCCCTTAATGTAAATCATCTAAGAAAAAAATTAGTTCGATACAATAATCGTAACTTTTTCATTTTATCGCATATCTCTCCAAAAAATGGACAACAAACACATTTGTAAAAATAGACCATTTATTTTTTTAGAGACAAACACGATAAAATGAAAAAGTAATGAATTATCGGATCGACATAATTTATTTTTTATGAATAATATACATTCAGGGCCTTACAAAATGAATGGTTTAAATGTTTGAAACGAGACTCGCGATGAGCCTTACGAACCCCCTCAAGTTCTCTTATGTTGAGATGTGAATATGAGAGAAGACTAACCCAAAAAGATTATTAGGTAGGTTGTCAATAATATTTTGTAATTATGTTGTGAATAATGACAATGTTTCTAAAAATCGTGGTTTTAAATTGAATTGAACCTCATTTTACTAGTTCAGTCTAGTTTGATTGCAAATTTTATGGAACCATAAATTAAACCAACCCGGATCATGCTCACCCCTAAATCAGGTGATAGTGTGGTCATTTTGGTTTGGAAATCGTTTTTCACATTTTAAAAATAGAAAATATATTTTGCACAAAAGAATTTGTTTTTCGTTAATCATGAAAAACATTGTCATGGACTTTTACCAAATGCCAAAAAAAAAAAAAAATATTTCTTCCAAGCATCTTTTTTTTTTAAAATCACCCAATCCAGACACTGTAAGAGACCGGTCTACTGTGTTTTTCCTAAAGAATATACAGAATTCAATGGAATCTCATGCCCTTATCCAACAGACTAATGGTTGCACAAAATTTGTTTCACCAATTCATCAACACGAATCTCACTGCCTCCAAGATGCTTTTGACTTGATGATGTAAAACCCTGTGTGGTACATTCTGAGATCAATGACCCACAAGAATACAAAATAGATTTGACATGATGAGGCTGTGAAAATCTCTCCTATGCTTAAGTTAGTTTGTTCTTAATTACCTACTTTTTTGGTTCATACATGCCTCCTCATTGGGGGTTGGCACGATACGCTAAGGATAATAATTCATTTGTTTCATTAAATAGCTAACTTGATATACATTTCTGAGTTCAATTCCTAACAATTTAAGGATAGGACTGTTGGCCCAATTATGCATGTAATTGTCTTCTGGAACAGTGAGAAAGTTAAAGGTTTAAGATTCGAGTCTATAGAGCGACTGCAACCCTTTAGTTATAATCTAATTTACTAACCCTTTAATATTCTATCGTATAAAAAAAATTCCTAATTTAATTTTTGGGAATAATTGGTACCTTAACATGGTATTAACAAATCTGATTGAGAGAAGTCTTAGATTGAAGTCTCTCTGTTGACATTTAGTATTCTGACTACTTCTGGTCAGTTTTGGTTCATCACTTCCCAACCTCTTCCTCACTTCTCAACCTCTTTGGTTGCTTATGAATTTCCCGAAGTAATTGATCTGATTCTTTCACCATACTAACTTGTAACAAACTCTAATTAATTAGACAAAATCCGGTGCCTCAACACCTTCACAAATCAACCAGCCTGCTCCATCATTGCAGTTTCTTAAACAAAGAAGAAAAGAAACACACACATTCACTAATAGCAATCTTTTTGCTTACTGTCAATAACCAGTCAATTGTAATGCTTACAAGTTTATTGCAAAATACAAGTACTATTTGCAAAACATACTGTTTTCACTGTGCAAGACCTTATTTCAATAAATATCAAGATTTTAGAGTGAAATATCAGGAGCCCTTAATGAAAACTACAGCAATTTTGAAGCAAAGTGGCACCATATCTTTTTATTTTATTTCATTTATTTATTTTTATTGGCAAAAGGGCACCAAGTCTTCGGACTACAGAATAGCATTAAGTATTTGAGTGAGGAATAGAGCAATTAAAATTAGTAACCAAAAGTTCTGTATTGACCAAACACAATCAGAGTAATTACTTAAAACAACATAGTAGTTAGTTGCCTTGGTGGTGGGAGGAAAGGCCACCACTGCCAGCCATACCTTTTTCAATTCAATCTGAAGGGCGAGATCCCGCAGCCATGGGACTGTCAACAGAATTGCTGAAACGGAAAATTGCTAGAGATTAAGGTAGCATGGGCAGCTCTATTTTGTTTTCTTACTACTGGTCAGAAAGGGCATTTGCATGGTTCGATTCCCCAGGTCTTCTCCGCATAGTCTTCGATTGTTCTATCACTGCTGAATCTTCCCGAGCCAGCAGTACTAAGGATGCTCATCTTAGTCCACTTTTCTTGATCAACAAATGCTCTGTCAGCAGCAGCCTGTACCTCTCTACCCAGTTAGTTTTTACCCAAATACTATTCCAGTATATATACACGCAAATGATTTACAGACCCCAGCAGTTCGATCATTATTACCTGAGCCTCCAGATAACTAGAAAAATCATGACCCAGGAGATAGAAATCGCTACCATCCTCCACGGTATCACATAACGACTTGAAATAGTCTTTGAAGCCAAAATAGCCATCCTGAACCATCCTGCACATATTGTCGTGCTAAAAATGAACCACTAGATGATAGAGAGGCTAAGAGATCTCAGTAGAGAAAGAAATAGAGTTCTTTACAAATATATAGATTTGTAGAACCAACACTAGAGCACAATGCATGGAGTAGCACTGAGCAGATGTCAATTGGGAAAAAAGAAAATCCATACCTTACAACACGTGCAAATTGAAGAGGCGGTTTAAGGGCAGCTCCTTTATCTCGCAATGTTGGAACCTCATTCACTTTTGCACCAAATAAAAACTGTAAGGGCAAAAAAAATTATCCCAAAGGCATACCCCCATCTTTGTCAGCACATGCTGTATATAAGAATTTGCGATAAATAGCTCGATCAACCAAAAAAAATGTCATTTTTGAACAGTAGAAGAACAAGTGGTCCGTGCATAAACAATGGACCGTCGCAAGGTACTTTAGGAAAGATACTATAAAAGCAACTGTATTATTAAAAAGAGAAATTCATGAATAAATAGTAAGGTACATGCCATGAGACAAAGATCCAAAGCATGTTTGCACAACTCAACTCAGAGAGGAAGGCTAAGAAGCACATACACATGACACAACATGGATAGGCCAATTGGCAAATTTAAAAACCCATGACATAACATGTAGGGGCACGCACTTAATATATAATTTTATAAATTTATTGTATATATATATATGTATGAATACTTCATTCAAATATAATAAAGAAATACAACTTAACACAAATTTCTAAAGTTTAGAGTGAGAGGGATTAATACATATAAATCTACTTCTTTGTTTTTTTCCTTTTATTATTAGATCCTATATGATAGGTACATGTCCCCCCAAGTGTCTGAATCTTAAGTGTGTCCGGATTTTAAAAAAAATTAAAAATTAGGCAAAACTACAAATACACCCCCTAAAATTTGCTTAAAATACGGATTGCACCATGTGGTTTTGGAAATTACATTCCACCCAAGGTTTTAAAAAACGGCTGCAACTGTTACGTAATGCCATTACGTAACAGTTGTGGTGATTACCGCCACCCGTTACGGCCGCTATAACTGTGTGACAGAAATTCACATGTATAACGGCTGTTTCGATGATACATAACAGCCGTAGTGGTACCGTAACGGCTGTAACAGTCCATTAGACACCGTTACACCCAAGGTTTCAAAATGTGACGTTATGTAACGGTTGCGGCGGTAGGCACCACGCATTAACCCCACTTTTGCGGTGTGATTGAGATTTACGCACCGTTACGTAACGGTTCCGAACTACTTCTTTCGGAAAAAAAAATAAAAAAACTGAAAATGGAAGAAGAGGGATAGAGAGAGAAGATGGAAGATGGAGGAGTAAGAGATATATATATATATATATAGAGAGAGAGAGAGAGAGGAGGGAAGATGAAGAACATGTTATTGATTTGTTGAAACTGTAAGACCCATACTATTCTATTCAGCTGCTATCATTCAACCATTTTGTTTATGTGTATCTATCTATATATTGTTCAAAGATAATAATAATAAGTGTGGTCATTATCTATTTGGCTTAATTAAAAAAAAAATATATATATATATATATATACATATTTAGACTCTTATTTATTCTCTTATTTTTGTCATTGTTTATCTTATATATAATAGTTAGTGATTGATTTTTTTTGTAAAATATCAAGAAAACATAACACCCATAACTATATATTAATACATATTTTATACATGTCAATTTTTTTTTATTAGTTTATTTTGTTTTTATTCACAGGTTATCCAAAAAGAGAATGAATATTCAAGTAATTCAAAACAAAAAAATATATATATTTGTAATTTGTTTTTTAATTTTTATATGATTACATTAGCATGTATAATTTATTTTTTAAAAACTATTCAAGTTAAAATTTGCATATGCTTCCACAAGTATAATAATTAAAAAAATAATTTTATACATCTAAGTCCAATAATTTTTTTTTTTTTTTTTGCCACAAGCATAATATTGATAAATCAAAAAAGTAATCGAGGATAAGGCATCCTCTTACAAAAGAAAAGGGAAAATCACAAAACAAAAGCCTAACAAGAAACTCTTGAACAAAAGCCTACATATCACACACTGCCAACCAATCTCTAACTAACAAAAAAGGTGGGGCCCCCTTAAAAAGAGAATTTCCCGAAACCCAAAAAGAAGTTAAATGACAAACACTATCCTACAAACAGTCTATCTTTTGGGACTTATCTTCAAACACCCTCGCATTTCTTTCTAGCCATAGAACCCAAAAAGCTGCAAAGACTGCACAAGACCATAGCATTTTGGCTCTCTTCGATCCTCCGAAAGCGCGAAAGTCAACTTGGAGCATATGTGCACTCCCTTGTGGGGCTACCCACATAACATTCCCCAACAAAAACAATTTGTGCCATAGAGTCAAAGCAATTGGGCAATGCAGAAACAAATAATCCACGGATTCCCCATTCTTACAGCACATAATGCAGCACTAAGGATTTAGAAAGTGATTAGGTCTCCGTTTTTGCAATGTATCATTTGTCAAAATGCCTCCATGAACCAAGGCCCACATGAACACCTTCACCTTAAGAGGAGCACAAGCCTTCCAAATTCTTTTGCAAAAAGGAAATTGAAAAACATGAGGAGTATCGATGAGTTTGTCAAAAAAGAACTTACAAGAAAATATCCCAGATGAATGGAGAGCCCAAACCCTCTTGTCCTTCAAAAGAGGAGCCAAAGAGAAATTATCAATTCTGGACAACAAAGATGCCAACTGTGAAGCCGTCATTAAGATTTCTAGAAAATTCAAAATTCCAGGAAATTGGAGCCAAAAGTGAACAAGCCATGGAAGTAATAAAAGAGTTATGAGATCGAGCCACTCTATAGAGGTATGGAAAATCAGAGGCAAAAGAAGATTGGCCCATCCAAACATCCTCTCAAAAACAAACAAGTTCCCCATTGCCCACCCTTACAGAAAGATGACGAGACCAACATGTGTAGATATGCGAAATTGATTTCCAAGGAGCACGACAATTACCCCTCAGAACCACCCATGAATCCTTACCATTGTCTTGAGTCCCATACTTGCTTCTAATAACCAAATGCCATAATGAATCACTCTCAAGTGGAAACCTCCATAACCATTTGCCAAGAAGAGCCATGTTCCTAGCCAAAATGTTACCAATAGCCAAACCCCCCTTTTCTTTAGGCAACGAAACTAAATCCCAATTCACCAAGTAATCCTTCTTCCCCTCATCCTCCCCTTCCCAAAGAAAATCCGTCATCAACTTTTCTAATGCCTTTGCCACCTTAACCGGAATCTTGAACAAAGATAAGAAATAAATAGGAATACTACTCAAAACCGACTTAACCAAAGTATATCTACCCCCGTGTGACAATAAAGCCTTACTCTACCCTTCCAACCTCTTACCAACTTCTCCACAACTGGATTCCAAAAAGCTTGACTTCTAAGATTACCTCCTAATGGAAGACATAAATACTTAAACGGGAGTGCCTCTATACCACATCCTAATAGAGCCGCCCTATTCCGAAGCAGGTCTTGCTGCATATTAATGCCCACCACACTACTTTTCTCCAAATTAACCTTAAGTCCTGAGATTACCCCGAAAAGTCTCAAAACCGAATAAAGATTAACTAACTGACTTTCATCCCCTGTTGAGAAAAATATGGTATCATCCGCATACTGTAAATGTGTCACACTAACTCTATCCTCCCCACCTCCAATCCCGTAAAAAGCCCTACATCTCTAGCTCTATCAACCATCCATCCCAGATCCTTCCCAGTACATCTGCCACCAAAATAAAAAGAAAATAAGATAGTGGGTCCCCTTGTCGTAATCCTCGGAAAACCCTGAAACACTCTCCTGGTTTACCATTAACTAAAACAGACATATTGCACGTCGACGAACATCCCCTAATCCAAGATCTCTACCGCCCACCATAACCCTTCTTGTCCATTACAAAATCCAAAAATTGCCAATCCACGTGATCATATGCCTTCTCGAAGTCCACCTTAAAAATAATTCTCTACTTCCCTAGACTTCTATATTCCTCCACTACTTCATTGTCCACTAAGGTTACATCTAGGATTTGTCTTCCTTTCACAAAAGCCCCCTGCGCCATCAACACAGTCTCCCCCAATGAAATTCTTCGTCTCATTGACAAAACCTTCCCCAAAATCTTATAAAGTGATGTGACCAGATTAATGGGCCTAAAATCTCCAATTCTTACCGCATTCACTTTCTTAGGAATTAAACAAATGAATGTGGCATTTGAACTCAAATTAACAACCCCTGACTCATGAAATATAAAGTCATTAATTATTAACATAAAATGTAAAAAACTCAGTTTATAGTGATTTAAAAATATGAAATATATTGGATCATACTTAAAAATTTACAAAAATTAATCAATATTTATTTTAAAACCCAATAAATATGATTAAGGAAAAAAATATGCGCATTGGTAAGTTTTTTTCAAATTGTGCGGGAAAAAAAAAATTCACAATTCCGGTTGCCGCAACTGTTACGCTACGGCCTTTACACCCCGCAACCATAACCACGCCACCGCCACCGTTACAGCGACCGCAACCGCTTTTCAGAACCTTGAATCCACCCCTTTATATTTCTAATTACATAACAAATGACCTCTTTTATTAATAAATTATCAAGATAATTAACAGTTTTTAATAATGTCAAAAATATATTTCAATTAACAATTCGGGTAATTTTATTATTGTCTAGGAAAGTAATTAGGAATTTTATTTTTTATGTTAATTCTATTAAATAAAAAATTCGGACAAGGGAATATTTGTAATTTTCAAAACTATAAAGGACAATCTGTATTTTAAGCAAATTTTAGGGGTGCATTTGTAATTTACACTAAAAATTAATAGGACACGTTTAAGCATATGTTCAACACATGGTGGGTAGTGTACAATGAATGTAAATGTTGAACATGTGTTCAACACAAACATATCACCTTCTTAGAAGTATCTGTGCTTCTTAGGGGCATGAGATCCTTCACCTAAAATCTTCTCCTATACCCAATGCACTATGATCGTGTCTCGAGATTTCCATGTGTCAATATTCCCACTACAAATTGGGTACAGGGAAAAATAGATTTGGACACAAAGGATCCCTGGCCAATTGAGAGTCATAACCCAACAATTTGGTTGGCTTTGTGTGTCCTATTTTGCCGTTCCCCTAAATCTACGTCACATTTTCTAATAGCAAGAAAGGATTTTGGAGGGTTTCCATCATACATAATTATGGTTTCTGTACACAATATCATATATGTGCCAATCAACGTATCAAACACTAGAATAACACAGAAATTCCAAGCAAGCTGTACTGTATGTTGCTAACTTATCATATATCACATATATCTGCAAAAAAGGGAGTAATAATATTGCACTTCTTTAAATACAGATCTGTTTATTATTCAGCAATACAGGTGGTATTCTTATCTGCATTATAAATTATTACTTCTGGCAATAAAATAATATATCTATAGCGCAATAACACTTTAGTGACAGAATAGGAAAAGCCCACACCATAGTTACTCAGGACAAAAGTTAGCAGAACATAAATTAAGACCAACTTAGAATGCCCTATTCGACCGTTTCTAGAACATTTTCCATCCATTTTGGATAGAACTACATAAATCCATCTTTGCCATTCTGCTCTTGCGAAAGCCATATTTTTTGGTGAAGCATGCCATCCAATCTTTGAGGAATGAGGATTAACAGATAATATCTCTACAAAACTAAATTTAAGATGGGAGTTACCATGTTATCTGCTCCTATTTCTTCAATAATTTCAACAGTGGACCCATCTGCTGTAGCTAATAGTAAACAGCCGTTCATCAAAAATTTCATGCTGCCAGTTCCAGATGCCTCATGTCCTGCAGTGCTGCACAAGAATCAGAACACATTATGCAAAACAAATGTGCACTTTCAAGCAAATGGAAACCTAACACAATGGGTTATAGATTGTAAAGCACAAGGGCACTCATCCAACAAGAAATATAAATATAATCCAGAAAATTAGCTATGATGTGGCTATTAATGTGAAAGAAGCAAACATTCCCAATTTGAGATATAAAACAAAATTAGATAGAACAATTATATTTAAGAACATTTAGCCTGTTGATTTGAAAGGGTATTGGTTATCTTCTTTCTGATAATTTTCCATAAGAAAAGTTGTAAAATGAACTGAAATTTTATGCTTCCATATTAGGGTAGACCAAGGAATTTAAATGCACCCTACTTCTACAAATATAATTTATCAATTAGGAAGGCATTAAGGGAAAAAGATCCTCTAACCAATAGCATACCAATAGACCAAACTAATTAAACAGGCAGAGAACAGTGACTGGAAACCAAGGGTTGTACATAATCTTCGCAGTGCAAATTACAGACCTAATGTGTTGTGAAAGGTCACTCCCTGGAATTACCAATTCAGCAACAGAAACATTATAATCAGGGATGAAAACCTGCAATAATCAGAAAACAAAGTGAACAAATAAACTTGAAAGAAAACAAATTGGAACAGGGATAATTTCTCCTCCCAATCACATTCAATCATGATTGTTAAAATCTTACAATTCACAATTCAATTCATACGATTTTATACGAGTTTCAACAAAAACAATTTGATTCATGTTGTTGAGTCTTAAATTGAGTTAATTGTACGATTCAATTGCATTTCACTATGATCCATTGTGATTCGTTGCAATTCAAATCTGTTTACATAATGCATGAAACAATGACTTTTTTGCCAAAAAAAAAAAAGAAGAGAGATTAATTAATTATATTGATATACATAGTTTTATATGTATATATATACAATTTAGTCATATTGTTGTTATTTTGTTTTAAACACTGCATATTTTTATATGTATACACATCTATAAAATTATATATTTTGCTAAATAATTTGAATCTTTCAACTCACGATTTACTATTTTAACAATACAATTCACAATTTGATTTGCAATTTGACAACAATGTATTCTATAGCTATAATCAAGTTAAAAATAAGAAGAATGTCTTGACTGCTGATCATTTGAATCATCAATACAGGATAACTATATTGAAGTAGCTGATCATGCATCTGTTAGAAAGCATGGGCAAACAAATGAGATTCTTAAAATAGGAATATGTACTCCCATCAGCCCTCCATCATCATCAAATAGAAAAGCATGTTAAATAATATGAAGGAAGATGTTCATAAACATGAAATAGTCATGGAAGACTGACTTAAATGAAGTGGAAGCTAAGAATGTTGTGAAAGCCTAATAATGCAGATATAAGATCTTTATTTTTAATTAGGTTAGACAAATAGAAGCATGTACATTTTTAATGATGAAAAAAATGGAAAATAAAACCTTGAATAAAGGGCAATAAATTTAGATTTAGGAGTGATGCACAATTGGATTGGAAAAATGTATATAATATGCTAGAAGTTGCGGGTATAGCAAAAAAATAATTAAACTAGGATGAAGAGGAATTATTGTAAAAAAACTGATGTATTATTGATTGATGTATTGTTGATATTTTGTCTATTACAAATGGTTTCTTATATAGATGTAGGTGTAGTGGATGGTGGTGGTAGGTGAGTGTAGTAGGTGAGTGTGTGGTAGGTGATGGTAAGTGTGTGGTAGGTGATGGTAAATTTTAACAATTATCAGTATTTCCAAAGAAATAGGATAACTGAATTTAGAGATGCTTGTAGAAAATATAATGATCGAAAACAAACAAATATTAAGGAAGGCACAAAGTCAAATGGTGATTGACTAGGTTGATCAATAAGACTGTGATGTCTATTAAAATTTTCTTATATAAATGTAGAAAATGCATTATGGTAACCTGTATGAGAGGAAAAGAAAATTTCAGATGTGAAAAACCATTAAGTTATAAAATTTAATTGTCATAATATAATAATTGAGAAAAGTGCCACGCATGAAACTAGAGTGACCATTTTCATTGGCTGAGTTCAATCACCAGCATTGTCTTTACTTTCTCCAAACCCATAAGCTTAAACATTTTGAGCAAGCTTCATTTAAGGCCGTCCAAAATCAAATCCTACCATAGATGCAAAAAAAATAAAAATAAAAATAAAAAGAGAAAAAAGCCTTCATGATTCTTGAGTCGTGACAGAAGGTCAAGAAAACCCAAGGGTGGCAAGCTTCTGAAAAGCGGTCGCGGTCGCGGTAACGGTGGCGGTGGCACGGTTGCGGTTGCGGGGTGTAAAGGTCGTAGCGTAACGGTTGCGATAACCGGAATCGTGAATTTTTTTATTTTTCGCACAATTTAAAAAAAACTTACCAATACGCATATTTTTTTTTTTCTATAATCATATTTATTGGGTTTAAAATAAATATTGATCAATTTTTGTAAATTTTTAAGTATGATCCAACATATTTCATATTTTTAAATCACTATAAACTGAATTTTTTACATTTTATTTTAATAATTAATGACTTTATATTATACAAAAAATCAATCACTAACTATTATATACAAGATAAACAATGGCAAAAGTAAGAGAATAAATAAGAGCCTAAATATATATATATATATATATACATATTTTAATCAAGCCAAATAGATAATGATCACATTTTATTATTATTATTATTATTTTCAAACAAAATATAGCTAGACACAGACAAACAAAATAGTTGAGTGATAGCAGCTGAATAGAATAGCATAGGACTTACAGTTTCAACAAATCAATAACATGTTCTTCATCTTTCCTCTTCTCTCTCTCTATCTCTTGCTCCTCCATCTTCTCTCTTTATCTTTCCTCTTCTCTCTATCCCTCTTCTCCCATTTTTAGCTTTTTTTTTGTGTTTTTTTGAAAGAAATAATTTGGAACCGTTGCGTAATGGTGCGTAACAGGCCGTTACGGCTGTTACGGCACCGTTATGACCGCTACGGCAGCCATTACGGCCGACACACCTGTGAATCTCAATCACACTGCAAAAGTGGCCGTAACGGGTGGCGGTAACCACCAAAACCATTACGTAACAGCGTTACGTAACGGTTGCGGCTGCTTTTTAAAACCTTGGGTGGAACATTTCCATTTAAAGCTCATATGTAGCTCAATTCTTTTTTTCACTCCATATCAAATATTTCAATTTCTCCAGAGGGGACCCATCCACCTCTAGCAAACAACAGATACACACAAGCACACCTGCGTATACATGATCATAGTCACACAGAAACAGAATGCCTGTATTACCAATTTTAGGAGATCTCCAACATCATCATCATTGTTAATCTTTTCTGCAACAGCATGACACAGTTTGATAATCTTCTTTGCAATTTCATAACCAGGAGCTGCTTTCCCCCCAACTATGCACACACGAGGAACAACCTTCGTCTTGTCACTCTTCTCCATATTCTTCAACAAAATGAAAATACAGTAAGCAAAACTATTATAACAAATAAATCTGTATGATATGCATGAAACATTGAAACCTAATACAATTAATGATCAATGAATGAAAGTGCACTATCATTTAAAACAAGCATAAATACAACTTTAGATCATATCCTGTGAAAACTTAGAAATATTTTGGAATCTCTGAATTAACTCTAGAGGTTTACAAAGATCATCCATCTACCAGGGGGAAAAAAAAAATGAAAATAATTATTTGGCTTTTCCGTGAATGAGGTAGAGACCATATATATATAATAGATTCATGACACAATTTAGAAAACAACATAAATAAGGAAACAATACTAAATCAGTGATTGACACAATCACAGATTATATACATAATACTAAAAATAAAAAGATTATATGTACTCTAATTTCTATATTCAACAGCACCGCACCCTAGAAAGAGAGAAAAAATAGGGATTGAATTGTCGTACAAGAGCTGCCGAAGCATCTATGGCCAGGAAACACCCTGATTGGCAGCCAACAAGAACCTGATCGACATCAAAGGCCGGAGCTAATGCTGGGAGATGGTTTATGGTCGTGCCAGACCGTTGTAGATACTGGTCGGAACTAATGTCGGGACAGTTTAAGGTCATGCTGGACCGCTGTAGGAACTGACCAAAATCAATGTTAAGACAGTTTACAAGCTCATGCCAGACCGTTGTAGAGACTAACCGAAATCAATGTCGAGACAGTTTAGTGATGATGGTGACAAATGACTGAGTGCGCCAAGGGGCGGCTTATTAGAAAGTGCGACAAGGGGGGCGGCTTAGGTGGTGCGCCAAAGGGGCGACTTGGGTTGTGCAGCAGATGGGGCGGCTTTGGTGGTTCACATTGTATATCACCATGCTCACCATAATATAGGGTATAATACCCCTCCCCCCCCCTCAAACTCAAATAGATTTGAAGATATAAACCTATTTGAGGTTGAAATAGAGGGAAAGACAAAGTGGAACAGAAACACACACAAAAAAAATGAATTGCAAGTAAAAAATAAGGTAGAGATATTTAGGATAGGAATAAATTAGTGGATAGAGGAAGAGATCACCACGAAATGATACTGAAAGAAAATATGGCAGTGAAATGGGTTGAGGTCCAACTAGCGACCAAGACAAGGCTGCCGCCCACCAGTGAAGCAACATTACTAGGTACTTAACCTAACTCTGATACCAAAAAGAATTAAAAGAATTATTTGGCTTTCCCATGAATGACATAGAGGCCATGTATATATAATCTCTGTTATCAGAATCTTACGATTCGCGATTCGATTCACAATTTTTGCAAAATAGATATGAATCTATGGGTGAATCTCTCTTTTATCAGAATCTTACGATTCGCGATTCGATTCACGATTTGATTCAAATTTTTTGCAAAATCGATACGAATCTATGGATGAATCTGTTTTGGAAGTAAATCTCTAGTGAATCGCACGATTCACAATCGATTCACGATTCGATTCACTTTTTATGATTCATGTAATTTTTTAAATTATTGTGTTTAACATATTTTCGACTATTTTTTTCTCCATGTTTTTAGTGAAAATGACATAATACAACTTTTAATAGCGTTTAATACCAAAATAACCAACATATATATAGGTGAATCTCTCTTTTATCAGAATCTTACGATTCGCGATTCGATTCACGATTTGATTCAATTTTTTTGCAAAATCGATACGAATCTATGGATGAATCTATTTTGGAAGTAAATATCTAGTGAATCGCACGATTCACAATCGATTCACGATTCAATTCACTTTTTATGATTCATGTAATTTTTTAAATTATTGTGTTTAACATATTTTCGACTATTTTTTTCTCCATGTTTTTAGTGAAAATGACATAATACAACTTTTAATAGCGTTTAATACCAAAATAACCAACATATATACATAATTTGTTATTATTTTAGTGATCATGAAGTTTTTAATAGAATCCAATCAGATTCAGTAAAACCTAACATATTTTTAACCTTTCTTCTCATTTTTTTTCCCTTTAAAAAATCATAATATATCTTCTAAAGATGTTTAAGATTAAAGTTACACTATGAATTATCTATTGCTATTTTATTAAATTGAACATAATTGAATATTACATATGTGAGGTCAATTATACCTTTGAAAATGTTTTAGGCTTTAAAATAAAATATTCTAAATAATTCTTTCTTATTATTTGCTCACTGTTACTTAGAAAAGTATGTATGTTTATTGTCCAAATATCAATATCGTTGTTAATTATTGTTATTTTGAAAATTGATAATTTGCCTATTTGATTATTATCTTTATTAAGAATGGTTGATAAGAAATATCTAAAAAGAAAAAAAGTAAGACAGTGAACTTACATAAGAATCTTTGTTAACTTCTTACCTATTAAACTATGTGATTATCACTCAAAATAACATTTTCATTGATTTAAGTCTAAATATTTCATATTCATAAGATATATTTAACATTTAAATGTATAAATATATATTTTTAAGTAATTTTAAAAAAGTGACCGAATCTTTACGATTCACGATTCGATTCGATTCGCGATTCGGTATAAGGTCATTTCGATTCACGATACGAATCTCGATTTGACAACTATGTATATAATAGATTCATGATACAATTTAAGAAACGATATAAATAAGGAACAATACTAAATCAGTAATTGACACAATCACAGATTATATACATAATACTAAAAATAAAAAGATTCTATATACTTTAATTTCTAAATTCAACAATAATTATAAGGAGAGACAGGTAATGCAGTTATTTCAAACAATTAGTGGGCTTGTAATTTAGGTAGAGACTATCCTGGTATTAGAAAGTTACACACTGGATGAATTATTGTATGTCACATATTCCTTTGTGATGGAAAATAATTTCCACGTAAGAAAAGAAAACTGAAGATGTAAAAGTAATAAAATGTGTACTGAAGTGTGACACCTTTATACAGTGGTATTCTTCCCTGTTCCTTCTTGCATTTCCAGTTATCAAATTGAGATGGTAATCTACCATTGAGTAATGTTATGCTTGAACACATTTGGTTTACCCATCTCATGAGTGATTATTGTATTGGTTTAATAGGTCCCACCACTCATATATGTCACCAATGCAGAACTGACATATCACATCACAAGTTAGACTAAATGTGGTAGAAAAATGTGTAAAAAATGTAGCATTACTCTTTTTACCATATCAAGATAAAGTGTGATACCTTTATGCAGTCGTATCGATGTATAATGCCTAATATATTTAACAGTTGCCTTTTGTACTGATGTATTCGCTTTATCTGCACATCAAACATTGCATCCACGCTGACCTGCATGGGAGGTGATACACTACCCAGATAAGATCACTAGGAAGATTCTAGAAGACAATAAAGCCTTTCAAAGGAAGGAGTGACAAAAAAAAGTTCAAAGAAAATAGTTGTCCAAACCTTCACTCCACTCATTGCTTCAATGTACTCAGCCAGCCTCATTTTATTGACCTTCCTGACCTACACATCACAAGCCAAAAATCAGTTAGTCCACAAATAAATAACAACATTAAATAAAGTAGATTTTCTTTCTGCAAGGATAGCATGCATTAACAACGTTAAAAAGATACCATCTTCCATTCTTGTTGTAAATCAGGATTTGATGCAAATTCTTGCAGACCTGCTAAGAGGTCAACATTACGAATCCATGCCTCTGTTCCAAGCCATTTTGAGATAAGAGCACATAAATTAGGATTGCTCACCACAATCCAGCGACGCTGAGAATTCACATGTCAAGAAAGTTAAAAACAGCTCACATGCCGAGTGAAACCAACATTCAAACCATTCATAATTAAAACTATGAATTGAACAAATTTAAGGATCGGGCTAGCCTTGAAAATCCATTTAGTTGTTAAGTTCATTGAAGATCTGTGACTGAAACCTACACAAAAAGAGAAGCATAACTGAGAGAAGATACATTTTTAAGAGATTTTTTCTACCTGTGTTACTCCATTAGTCTTGTACTGAAATTTCTGAGGCCATAGCTCATAAAAATCCTGCCAATAGAAAATGTCAATGATTCTTTCAGCTTAACTTATTTCTAAGGAATAAAAGACAAACCAGAAAATACAAAGGAAAAAAAGTGCATCAGCAGAAGGCAAAGAGATAGAAACGAAAACAAATCTGGAAATTGATGATTTCTACTAAGGTGCATCACTGGTGACAAAATAGGTAGAGTTGAATCTGCTGCTCTATTGATTTGATAAACTGCTCAAGTTTACTCTAGCAGCTAACTTTTCTTGTGTTCGTGCAACTTCAGCCAGGAGCCACCCTATTCCCAGCTACTGCTCACAAGATAGTTAACAGTGCTACTAACAAAATTTTGTTCTTTTAGTTGTGAATGACATTGAATAAAATCTAATTGACTGGGATCAATGCGACCACAAGTATTTTGATTCTATATTACAATTCTACTTTTATTTAATCGATTTATTTTCTCTAATCAGTATAGCTTTTTTCACAAAGGATATAATGAAAAACAATGTGTGACATTTTATATTGTGAAATTTTACATCGAGTGTGTTTGTTTTGAGGGATTATTTCATGGGATTGGACTATTAGTCCATCTGCACTAATAGTCCATTGTTTGGTTCAATTTTTTGCTTCGGATTAATAGTCTCTCCGGACTATTAATCCCTCATATGAGGGATTATTGTATCCTAGGGGGGGTGGGATTATTTCCATGGGATTGGTATCCCATGGGACTAATGTATGAAATGTCCACTTTACCCTCATGCTATTACTTAATAAACAATTGGCAAAAGGGTAAAATAGTCTTTTGATCATTTATAAATTATTTTTTTAGTGTTGTTAATTTAAAATTATATATTAAATAAAAAATATAAATTATAAATTATAAATTTAATTTAATTAAAAATAATAAATTAAAAATTATGGCCTAATAATTTTTTTAGTGTTGTTAAAAAATTTAATTTATATATTAAATAAAATTATTTTTTTAGTGTTGTTAATTTAAAGTTATATATTAAATAAAAATATATAAATTATAAATTAAATTTAATTAAAAATTATGGCCTTATAAATTAAAAATTTTTAGTGTTGTTAAATTATAGATTCCAAATTTAAAATTATATATTAAATAAAAATTATAAATTACAAGCGTAAAATAGTCTTTTGAACATTTATCTTTATCTAGTCCGTCCAACCAAACATTGAATTCACTAAAAATAATCAAATCCAGACATCTAATCCTATGACTAAACAAACATAGGATACGATCCAATCTAACCAAATAGTCCGGAGACAATGTATCCCGAGACTAACAGTCCGATGGATTACAATACCCCCTCATCTAGCCTGCCCAAACAAACACACCCAAAGGTAGTTCACAAATCACAAAACAATAAAAACTCTCATCACAGGAGATAGTTGAACTAACTTACAAACATGTTATATAGGCCTTAAAATAATGAAGTTGAAATTCTTCGACACATACCAAAGTTATATAGTTCGACATTATCACAAAGCATACGGAAAAGAGCAAAAATGGTTAGGTAAATAAAAATTAGTCCATGAATTACCTTAAACACTCTTGATTTCAATAATTCAGAATGTACACCGGAAACACCATTGACAGTATGACAACAAACCATTGACAAGTTTGCCATTCGAATACTCTGTCAACACAAAAGGAAATTATCAGATTTTCTAGTACTTTGTGGTTCATGATAATTAAATGGCAAATTGAAATATATTTATATATATCAACAAATTTTACATAAATTGTACTACAGAAAAACGTATTTACATTTACTTCCCAAAAAGGCAAACAATAGGTCTACCTTAACATGAAAAATGAAAATCAAATGAAAATTAACCGTTAATCAAGTGATTTTTATTCATCAGCTACTAAGATAATGTCTAACGATGTTCAATTAGAAACTCCAAATATTGAATATAAATACCAAGCATAATCTCTCAATTGCCTTTTTTACTTATTAGCTTGTATATTACTCAAAATCGTTATAAAATACTATATTGATCATTATTTAACAGATATGTTTACAATAATTTCTTGAATACCTTGACAGCACCTTCATCAACAATTGACATCTGAGACAGCCGACTGTAATCCAGTCCAATCCTCCCTTTCAACTCTTCCATAAAGTTGAGGTTTATGTCATATATAATCTGGAAAGTACAAATTTAATGAAACCTGATGAAGATTTAACAAGGTGGAGTAATTCAGAGACAACCATTTGATGAATTATGGTGTAAGAATTAATTGATTATGAGGCATAAGATGCTGTGAAAGATCATAAAGTCATGACTAGTTTGGATTAGTTATAAAATTGTCCTTTAAAAGATGGAAAGAAATTTTGGGATGTCAGATTCATGAAAAATGGAGACAACAATTGGAAGAGCAGATGCATGCACACCTAAGAAGCACAGATACGGATACTGACACGAACATGGGACAAGATGATTTTCAAAAAATCAGGACAAGGACAAAGCGGGAAAACGTCAAAAATATATTAATTTATATATTTTTATTTGCTATGTATATGAATTCCACAAAGATAAACAACAAAAAATAATTAAAAACTAAATAATACAACATGAAAAAACTACTCAATCTATAACTTAAATATCATTCAACAAATGAAATAATATATTGTCTATCATAAAGTATTAAATTGCAAATGTCAAAAGCATTTAATTAAATAATGAATAGATCATCCATAAAAAATAAATAATCACAAGTCAAACGTTTCATAGGACATGTCCAGAGGCAGGAGATGCATCCAATGAGAAGAAAATAAATATATGTATATATATAGAGAGAGAGAGATACACCATGTGGAGTGTCAACATGGTTACGACAACTATTTTGAACTGTTTGTGCTTCATAGACTCACACCATGATATATGATAGGAGAGATGTCCATGCTTCTATTCAATCTAATGTATTGGGGTTTGGGCTTAGAATGAAGAATGTAAGAGGGAAGAGGTGTTTATTACAGCAAAATATGACATACTTGTAAATGACGTGGAAGAAGACTCCCCATGAGATCAACAGGGATTTTCTCCAGTGCTTCAGGCAGTACGGTGTGAGTAGTGAAAGAGAAAAGTTTGCACACAATGTCCCATGCTCTATTCCAACCCAGATGTTCTTCATCAACAAGCACTCTCATGACCTCAGGTATAGCAAGAGATGGATGAGTATCATTCAACTGTAGAGCAACCTGAACAAAATAATTGGAAACATAGTTAAAGTAAATGGAACAGAATCAGCAGACATAATCAGGAAAATCAAACTATATTCCTGGTAGTATTTTTCTCTAAGCAATGACATATTCTTTGCCTTAGTCTAATGAAAATAGCACAATCTGTCACAATGATTGGCACAGCAAACAGTAGAAAATAGGTACCTAATAATCAAACATCCTATGCAACATCGAGGCAATAATCTTAACAGCACACAATGTTGATGGAACACAAATAAAATGAACTTCATCATTTCATAATTTGGTATTTTGTCTTCATGTTTGAACTGAAAGTGCATGTATGTGGTTGTGACAGTAGTATTTCAGATATACAAGGTAATGATGTCAAAACCTGTTAAAACCTACCACTACCACTACCACCTACTACACCTACTCCACCCACTTCACCTACTCCACTTCACCTACTCCACCTACTCCACCCACTTCATCTACATCTCCTATATAAGGAGCCCCTCATATTTGTAATTTACACAATATACATCAATCAATAATACAATTCTCTTTATACATTGAATTTTAACATATATATATATTTTTTCTCTTTTTCTTCTTTCCACCGCCCAACTTTTCCTTGAACCTCAACTTTTTTATCTTTTCTTTTAAAAAAAAAAAAAACCCGCAGGTTTTAACAAAACCGTGGGCCAAGACACCCACGTGGGCTTGTCCTCTCTCTCTCCTCCGTTTGATTTCAAAATCTATTATTTTTATTTCTTTTCTCCAAACCACTTTTAATCTCTTTCACATACCCACTTTTATTTTATTATATAATCAACATACCCATCATTCTTTTTCCCACTCAAATATATTATACTAGCCTTCATTGATTCCACTGGCTTCCAACACTTCATTTTATTTATTATTATTATTATTATTTTCACCAAAAAAAAAAAAAAAAAAGAAAAAAAAAAAAAAAAACACATTCATTTTAGGTGATTTTATTTTTTGCACAAAAAAAAAAAAAAAGGAAGAAGACGAATTGCACACCAAACTCCTTTTATTCATGTCGGGATCAACCCCGATCACCATTTTACACAAAAAAAAAAAAGAAAAAAAAAAAAAACAACAACAAACCCAAAACACAATACCAAAAGATTTGTTTTCTTTTCTGCAGACGGCCACCCACCGACCTCACTTCCACTACTCTGCCGCCGGTCTCTTCTTTTTGCCTCCGTCCTGGGCAGTCCTTGACGGTGCTGCTTCCGTGTTTCCCACTCCACTGGGCACGATCACTACTCTCTGCTCCTCCACTGCAGCATAAGGCGGACCTCCAAATCGGAACATAACGGTGGTCTTCCGCTTCAGCTCCTTATTTTCCGCCTTTAGCACACTTATCTCTGCTCGCGCATCCTTATACATGCGTTGGAGCAGAGCCAGCTGAGAGTTTAACGGCTGCACCTCATTTGTCTTACTCTGAAGCCGGTGCGACAGGTTTGTGACCGCAGTCATGTCTCCACGCATGACTTCAATGTATACTGATTGGCCTCAATATCTGTTTGTGCTACCATTCTTTGCTCCACCGACCGCATAGGAAAGGTCAGCGGAGCAAACTCAGGGGCACTTGGTTGAGGTTCACGGGCAACCGCACCGGTTATCTCTCTTGTGGACTCGTTGAGGTCGGGAAAGAGAGTGAGCAGACCACGGGAAGAAGAGGCCATGTTCTGGGTAGCTGAACGGGAAGAAGAGGCCATGTTTTTGGGTTGCTGAGTGTTTCAGCGAAGCAGCGATTTCCGACTGGTACTCTCAGAGAAGGATTGGTTACAGAGTGTTTACAGAGTATTTCAGAATGCAAATGTTCGGCGGTTTCAGACTAGTTTGCACAGCCTCTGCCTCAACCTTGGTTAATTAGCCAAGGCAGACACGCGCATCATGCGCCGCTCGGCGCTCGACGACAACATGGGCGCGCCTTTTGATGGCACACCTTTTTATGGATTGGGCACGCCTTTTGAAAAATTGGGCGCACCTTTTGAGGGTGCGACTTTTTAAGGGGTCCGACAAGACTCTGTAAACTGTCCCGACATTGATTCCGGTTAGAACAGGGATTTTCTCCAGTGCTTCAGGCAGTACGGTGTGAGTAGTGAAAGAGAAAAGTTTGCACACAATGTCCCATGCTCTATTCCAACCCAGATGTTCTTCATCAACAAGCACTCTCATGACCTCAGGTATAGCAAGAGATGGATGAGTATCATTCAACTGTAGAGCAACCTGAACAAAATAATTGGAAACATAGTTAAAGTAAATGGAACAGAATCAGCAGACATAATCAGGAAAATCAAACTATATTCCTGGTAGTATTTTTCTCTAAGCAATGACATATTCTTTGCCTTAGTCTAATGAAAATAGCACAATCTGTCACAATGATTGGCACAGCAAACAGTAGAAAATAGGTACCTAATAATCAAACATCCTATGCAACATCGAGGCAATAATCTTAACAGCACACAATGTTGATGGAACACAAATAAAATGAACTTCATCATTTCATAATTTGGTATTTTGTCTTCATGTTTGAACTGAAAGTGCATGTATGTGGTTGTGACAGAGTAGTATTTCAGATATACAAGGAAATGATGTCAAAACCTTTCCCAGGAAGTCATCAAAGTTATCATGTCCATCTTTGAACCTCCGAATGATATCTTGTAATGATGCTGAAACAAAGAAATACTGCTGCTTTAGTCGCAGTTCCTTCCCCTGAAAAACAACAGCCAAAGAAATGGAAAATTTGCATTTTGAGTTAAAAATGATAAAGCTCTGCTGACACGTTCAGAAAAACCCAGGATTTAACACAAACAGACACTAATAATAAATGTATATCAGTTGAACTTGGATCTTAGTGGCTGGAAAGTATCAAAGTTTCACTTTTTATTTATTTATCCCAAAAAAAAAAAAAAAAGTACCAAAGTTCCACAACTTCTGCCCAGAAAGCAGACGAGGCACCAGTACTTGATTCCTCATGACTAAGCACATCTATAATACAAAACTTATGGGTTATACATATGGATGAAAGGAAGTTTCTTCAAAATTGTTCTCAAGAAAATTCTTCTCAGCTAATGGTCATATAATTGATTCCATAATTTCATTCCTGCACAATACATCTCTTATAGATTTCTCAAACATTTTATCAACAAAACAAGTAAGGAAGCATCAGTTGCATTAGGTCATTGACATAAAACCAAAACATGTACACCACTTCATAAAACCCCAACCAATCATACAAGAAAAGTCAAAGATTACTTGAACACAATTGATAAGATAAGAATCATTAACAATATTTACAAAGAAGCGTACTAAGAAATTTTCATGCACATTTGCTATTCAATCAAAAAGAGAAGGGGGAAAAAAAGAAAAACATATACCTGATAAGAACGGTCGTCAGGATACAAGATATTGCTTATGGCCTCAGCCTTTTGTGTATTAACAACAGAATTTATATAATCTCCAGTATTAAAAGACTCCTGAAAATGGCAAACATTGCAAGCAATTAAATTTAACAACAAAATTCAAATTCCTTATGAATTTTTGTATCACAAGAAATAAGTGCATGAAGCCTTAAAGATAAATAAACAAATAAATACAATAAAGTAGATATTCTTGCTGGTACTAATTCATGATTTGCCTCAAATAGTCAATAATTAACTCTACAGCTTTGCTAAAAGAGAATAAGCATATCCTCTTGCGAGGCATGGACTAAGGAGACAGTGGCTTTGGTGTCAGTTGCTTTCCTTCAATTGTATCTTAAACAGATAATAAAGAAATATATGCAAAACAATACTAGATCTACTGATGCAAAGCCCTTCGCTTTTTGAACAACTTAATAAGTAATCATAGACAGAAAATATGATCAAATGCAATGTTCATGCTTAAAATGAATATAACTGGACTCCTGTCAAAATTACCAAATCATATTGGTTACTGGGTTTAGCAGCCCACAATCTGAGATTGATGGTATTCCTCGTTCCATAACCAGGGATAGGATTGTCGTAAGCAACAGCTTCAACCTACCAGCATGAAGAGTAAGCTGAATCCTTAGTCATACTAAATACAAAAATAAATATTCTCCATTTTACACTATGCCACTACAAGAATATTAGAAGCAAATATAGCTCCAGATATGAAGATAAATATTGACAAAGGATTTGCTTGGCACTTACAGCCTTTGGAATATATGAAAGGAATTACTCACTGTTTCTCCTGGGACCCAAATTTTACATTTCTCCCCATTTAAACTTTGCTCTTCAACAGTCCCATAGAACTTATCCATCAAGCATGTCACCAAGCGGCAGTAAAAATGAAGTGTTAGCCAATATTGAGATATACAAAGAAGAAAGTACTTGACAAATTAATAAAAGAACTCAACAGAGGTAGAAAGAATTAAATACTTGCAAACCTTCACTGTATACGATACATGGACCCGCTCTATTTCCCAGGGGTTCCCGAAATTCAACCAATAATCAGGTTGTTCATGTTGGAACCCATCCAATATGATCTGACGGAACAACCCATACTGATAACGTAGCCCATAACTGCAAAATAGAAATTGTAATTTTACCAAAATTAGTTAAAACCTTCAAGTGAAAACAGATGAAATCAAGGCTAGTTATTGTTAGAATAGGAAATTGTTAAAATAGGAAATATTAGAATAGGAAAAAATAATTGTATTCTTATTTATCTTATTAATTCCTTTTGGTTGCTCAGAATTATGCCTGTAATTCCTCAGAACTATCAATATAAAAGGGAATGAAGTCTAAATCATTCCCTAACTCTTTCTCTTCTCTAGAACTACATGGTATCAAAGCCTAAACCCTAGCCCATACCTTATTCCTGTCTACCGGCAGATCTATCTTCTCCAGGAGCCCAGTCGGCCACAATATCCTCTCACCCAGGCCATCGTCTGTCATCCCACAGTCCATCCAGGCCATCGTCAATCTCCTAGGGGGTCTGTCGACACTCTAGGGCCTCACCCAGTCCATCATCAGTCCACTAGGGGGTCTGTCGGTACCCTAGGGCCTGTCGACAGCCCCTCTGGCTTCCTTGGCTTCTGTCGGCATCTCCTAGGCTACTGTCGACTCTCTTCCAATGTCGACTCTCTCTCCCAGTGTCAACTCTCTCTCTCATAGTGTTCTTCTCTCTCTCTCTCTTTTCTTGTAATGGTTCGTTAGTTATATTAAAAACCAATATATGAAAAAAAAAAAAAAAAAAAAAAAACTTTATGAGTATCTAGTTACTATTGTGCTTGTTCCTCCACTCTCATCTTCCGAGTTTATGATTGGCATTGTGGTTGAGGAATATTTAGTAGCGTACCCATGGCAGATTTGACTAGTAAATCTACTACCTCTAAGCCCCCTCAGGGCGAGAGTTCTGTCATCCCTTCTACTATGACTAATATCTTCCACACTGGCCTTAAAATCACCACCTCTCTATTCAATGGTCAGAATTACCTCGCATGGTCGCAGAGTCTGACTATTTTCTTGAAGAGTAAGGGAAATATGGGATATGTTGATGGGTGGGTTCAGGTACCTAGTATCACCGACCCTCATTATGACCAGTAGGAGATCACCAATTCTCTGATTATGGGCTGGTTAATCCATTCTATGGTTCCGGAGATTGGAGAGGGGGTTCGGGCACCCAGTATCACCAACCCTTCTTATGACCAGTGGGAGATCACCAATTCTTTGATTATGGGCTAGTTGATCCATTCTATGGTTTTGGAAATTGGAGAGGGCTACTTGTCTATGGACACTACCCAGGATATTTGGGAGGTCGTAGCCACTATTTACTCCAGGAAGGGGAACTTCTCACAGGCTTTCAAGTTACGTCGATCCATTGAAAGGTTGGTACAAGGTGAGCAGACTATCCTCTAGTATTTTACCTTCCTTAGTAATGGATGGAAGCGGCTTGATCACCTTCAAGATTACAAGCCTGTCTGTCCCACTAATTCTACTGGTTACCGGAAGTTTGTGGCGGATCTTCAAGTTCTTGAAAGGCCTAAATATGGAGTATAATCCGGTTAGGAGCAAAGTATTTGGCATAGATGTGCTTCTTTCTCTCCAGGAAGCCTTTGCTTTTGTGCAGAATGAGGAGAGTTGCCGTTCTGCAATGCTTCCTTCTGCTACTACTGATCGCTCGGCCTTGGTTTCTGCACCCTCTCGCGATGGCGACCTTGTGACTCGTGGTTCTTGTCCTTCCTCTGAGAAAGATAACCTTTACTGTGACTACTATCGTCGACCTCGCCACACACAAGAGACTTGTTGGAAGCCACATAGAACTCCCTCTGGTGGCCGAGGCGACCGTTCTGGTACTCGAGGGGGTCGGTCTGATACTAGAGGCCGCGGGGCTAATGCATGAGCCCATCTTTCAGACATTGTTGAGCCACCATCTTCATCTCCAGTTGTCTCCTCCGCTGCTGATGTTTCGGGGTTATCTACCTTGGATTTTGATATTGCTCTTCGCCACTTGCTAGATCGTCGAGCCTCCACTTTTGCCAATTTAGGTAACTTGGCTTCCTTCCTATGTGCATTGCTATCTCATAAGACTGTACCATGGGTTATTGATTCAAGTGCTTCCAACCATATGTCTAGCTCCTCTAATTTATTTTCAGAGTATAACCCCTTCTCAGGTCAGGAAAAAGTGCGTATTGCAGATGGTACCATTTCGTCTGTGTCAGGGAAAGGTTTAATTCATGCCACCTCTTCCCTTTTTTTGTCTTTTGTCCTCCATGTTCTCAATTTCAGTGCTAATCTTTTATCTTTGAGTCGTATTATTTGTGTCTTAAATTGTAGCTTGACATTTTTTCCTAATCATTGTCTTTTTCAGGCCCTTATCACGAGGAAGAGGATTGGTAGTGGTAGAGCGGAACATGAGCTCTACATTTTGGATCAGATTGACAAGCTAGCTCATTCATCTATTTAGTTACCATCCACCAAGGAAGACATTTGGTTGTGGCACAGTCACTTAGGACATCCCTCTTTTTTATTACTTACGCATTTATTTCCCTCTATTTTTGAGAAAAATAATGTGTCAGATTTTCACTGTGAGTCTTGTCAACTTGGAAAACAACATAGAGCCTCTTTTGCTCCTTCTATTAATAAAGTATAGTTCCCTTTTCTTTGATTCATTCTGATGTATGGGGTCCATCCCGTTTTGTGTCTTTAACCGGTCATAAATGGTTTGTTACCTTCACAGATGATTGTTCCAGAGCTACTTGGGTGTATTTGATGAAAGATAAAAGTGAGATTTTTTCTGTGTTTCAAAACTTCCATAAAATGGTTTGTACTCAGTTTGGGGCGGTCATCAAAATTCTAAACCAAACCAAGCCTAAAGTCCCATCAAATGGGGTCGGCTACATGAATCCTTCTTCTCCACGAGACCCTATCAAAGGCCATTTCATTAATCAAATTAAGTAGATCCATATCTCTATTTATAACGCTAGTCAACGTTAATCTAGGCCTACCCCATCCCTTAACACTTCCATCTACCGTTACAGAATTGCATCTCTTTACTACTACCTCTGTTGGTCTCCGTTGAATATGGCCAAACCATCTCAATCGATTCTCTCTCAACTTATCTTCTATCGGTGCTATTCCTACCCATTCTCGAATATACTCATTCCTAATTCTGTCTTGTCTGATCTTGCCACGCATCAACCTTAGCATCCTCATCTCAGTCACACTCATCTTATCTACATGTTGTGTAGGAACCCACACTTTATGTCCTCATCATGTTCATGAGCATCCGTATGATTATGACTTGTTAAGCTTTCATGTGTATGTTGTGACTTGTTTTGCTTTAGCAAGTGAGATCCGTGCCTCGATTTGGAGCCTTGTAATTTGTCTAAGCGTAGTGTACTCGTCTCATTCCTTCCTTGATGTAAAAACTTAGGTTACGCCTTGCCTGAGTTACGCTAGCCGATGTTATCCCAAACCGAGGTCATTCTTAGTCTAGTAGTAGTATCTTGGAACCCCTTGTTGACCTCAGTCCTTGCCTCGACCACGTTAGCCGAGATGTTACCTTGCACCCCAGTGATCTCGTCCTGGAGCGGTATGACCTAGGCCGAGGTGTGGCGCATCTAGGCCAAGATGTGGCACAGCTTAGTCAAGTGTTGTCCTTCCTAGCCGAGGTCATTGTCACCTTAGTTGCCGAAGTAGTCAACGTTAATCTAGGCCTACCCCATCCCCTTACACTTCCATCTACCGTTACAGAATTGCATCTCTTTACTACTACCTCTGTTGGTCTCTGTTGAATATGGCCAAACCATCTCAATCGATTCTCTCTCAACTTATCTTCTATCGGTGCTATTCCTACCCATTCTCGAATATACTCATTCCTAATTCTGTCTTGTCTAATCTTGCCACGCATCCACCTTAGCATCCTCATCTCAGTCACTCATCTTATCTACATGTTGTTTCTTGGTTGCCAACACTCCGTCCTATACAACATGCTGGTCTAATAGTCGTTCTATAGAATTTACCTTTTAGTCTAGTAGGTATTCGTTTATCGCACAGTACCTCAGACGCACTTCTCCACTTATACCAGCCCGCCTTAATCCTATGGGCCACATCCGCATCAAAACTCTATGTTCTGATAATGGGGAGGAATATATTGACTCTGGTCTTGCCACTTACTTCACCACACATGGGCACTAATACCCCTCAACAAAATAGTGTTGCAGAACGCAAAAATCGCCATTTCCTTGATATCGCCCGTTGTCTCTCCTTTGAGATGCGGGTTCCTCGATCCTATTGGGGGGAAGCGGTTCTCACTGCCGCTTATTTGATTAATCGTCTTCCTACCCAGGTCCTTCAAAAACAAACACCTCTTTAAGTTTTGTTCAGGTCTACCTCTTCTGGGTTCTCCATTTCTCCTAAGACCTTTGGTTGTGTTTGCTTTGTCCATAATCATTCTCCCACTCGTGGTAAATTGGATCTTAGGTCACTTAAGTGTGTTTTTCTGGGTTATTCTGCCACCCAAAAGAGTTATAAGTATTATCACCCTCCCACTTGCAAATGGTTTGCCTCCATGGATGTCACATTCTTTGAGTCTCAACCTTACTTTCTGCCTTCCCCGATATCCCAGTCATCTCTTCAGGGAGAACCTTGGTGTGAAGAGATTCCTGTTCAACCTGTTTCTCTTCCACCAATGGTTGAACAGATAGAGGATAATGAACCAGCAGTTGTTGAGAACAAGGAAGCAAGCAAAGTGTATATCAGGTACAAGGACAAACAGCAAGTCACCTGAGTGTCTAGAGTCAACCTTATCTCCTACGAGTCCAGGTAATTCTAATTCTAACTCCTATTCCTGATGTTTCAGATCTTGATGTTCCCATTGTTAATAGGAAGGGAGTTAGGTCATGTACTCAGCATCCTATTACTAATCATGTCTCTTATTCTAATATGTCTTCCTCATATAAAGTCTTTTTGTCTAAGGTGTCTTCTGTGAGTCTACCTACTGCTTTTCAGGATGCTCTCTCTATTCTTGAATGAAAACATGCCATGATGGAAGAGATGAGAGCTCTCAGCAAGAATGGCACTTGGAAGTTAGTGGAGTTAACCTAGAAAAAAAAATCCAGTTGGGTGTAAGTGGGTATATACGGTAAAACACAAAGCAAATGGTTCCATAGACCGGTACAAAGCAAGATTGGTTGCTAAGGGCTTCACTCGGACTTATAGGGTAGATTACCAGAAGACATTTGTACCGGTTGCTAAAATGAACTCTGTGAGAATCGTACTCTCTCTTGCTGCAAATTTGGATTGGCCACTTCATCAGTTTGATGTGAAGAATGTCTTCCATCATGGAGACCTAGCAGACGAGGTCTATATGGATATTCCTCCTGATTTTTCGGATGCTAAGTCCAAAGGTAAAGCATACAGGCTCCGAAAGTCGCTTTACAGACTAAAGCAGTCCCCTAGGACTTGGTTTGAAAGGTTTGCTCAAGCTATGCTGAAATATGAGTTCAAGCAGAGTCAAGCTGATCACACATTGTTGGTGAAACACTCCTCACATGGTAAGACGACAGCTCTCATTGTTTATGTTGATGATATTATTCTGACAGGGGATGACGTTGAGGAGATCCCTCGGTTGAAAGAATACTTAGCCAGGGAGTTTGAATTTAAAGACCTGGGTCATTTGAAGTATTTATTGGGTATTGAAGTAGCTAGGAGCATGGATGGCATCTTTATATGTCAGAGAAAGTATGTACTTGACTTGCTAAAGGAAATTGGACTACTCGGAGATAGACCATGTGATACACCTCTAGAATCAGGCCATAAACTTAGATCAAGAGGGAGAGCCAGTGGACAGGAGGAGATACCAGAGACTAGTGGGCAAGTTCATATATTTATCCCACTCACATCCAGACATTGCCATTGCCGTGAGCATGGTGAACCAGTTTATGCATACTCCTAGAACTTCCCACTTAAAGGCAGTTATGAGAATTCTGCGATACCTGAAGTCTTCTCCTGGAAAGGGTCTCTACTTAAAATATGGTCATCTCAGTGTGGAAGCATTTACTGATGCAGATTGGGCAAGATCAGTCACTGACAGACGATCAACTTCTGGATACTGCACATTTGTTGGTGGCAACCTAGTCACATTGCGAAGTAAGAAACAGAATGTGGTTGCTCGATCTAGTGCTAAAGCAGAATTCAGGGTTATGGCTCAAAGGGTATGTGAGTTACTATGGTTTAAACTATTGTTGGGAGACTTTGAGAATTCATCAGACTGACTCCATGCGACTATACCACGACAACAACGCTGCAATCAACATAGCTCATAATCCAATTCAGCATGACAAAACTAAGCATGTGGATATTGATAGGCACTTCATTAAGGAAAAACTCACTAGTGGCACCATATGTATTCCATATGTAAAGCCTAAGGACCAACTAACTGATGTTCTCACCAAGGGACTAGGGAGCAAATCCTTTCATGGCATTCTCAACAAGCTGGGTATGAGAGACATCTTCGCACCAGTTTGAGGGGGAGTGTTAGAATAGGAAATTGTTAGAATAGGAAATAATAATTGTATTCTTATTTATCTTATTAATTCCTTTTTGGTTGTTCAAAATTATGCTTGTAATTCCTCAGAATTATCAATATAAAAAAGAATGAAGTCTAACTCATTCCCTAACTCTTTCTCTTCTCTAAAACTACAGTTACAAATAGAGAACAGTAGAAAACTTTTTCTATTTACTATTTTAGTTCAGTTTCTCAGTCGCCAAACACAGATTAGAAATTACAGGACGCTCCATAAGGCCTTTGCTCATATCTTTCTTGTCCTTTATTCAGGGTGCCTATTCTTTGTTGTAACCATTTAAAAAGTATCAAAGCAGCAAAAGCTATTTTCTTCTCTTCCTATGTTATTGGCTTTTACATTTTATTGTTCCATAAAATCTGGACTGATTTCCAAGGAAAGGAACATGAAGCTGTTTGAATTTAGTTTGGCTGAGGGAACACACTGTAGAAGATAAATGGACCAATACTTCCTAGTGATTTTATGTTTAAGGAAGGGAGGGAGGGTGGGCGTGCAGATTGCTTTCAATTTGAAGCTCCAAAATGCTTATCTGAAATAAAGGGAAAATAAAAAAGCAGCTTAAGTTGAAGATTAGACACACACACACACACCAAAAAAAAAAAAAGGCCAATGCACTCCCCACATCAGTTTTGGTACAGATTTAACTTAAAATTCATAAATTTTAGATAGGAGCAGATATAAACAGTCACCGAAATGGCACTTGCAAACTCAAACGTCTAAAGTCCATATCAATTCATTATCATGTAAATTGGAAAAATAGGTCTCCAATGCAAACTCAAACGTCTAAAGTCCATATCAATTCATTATCATGTAAATTGGAAAAATAGGTCTCCAATGAACCAAAATTTCTGAAAATTTTACAGTAGACTACGAAGCCCTAGTCAGCCATACAACAAATAGGAGGAACTCAGATCGAACTCTGATACCAAGTTAGAAATAGGGAATAAGAAGAAACAAAATGGAAGAAGAAACGAGAAAGAATAACAGTGTGATGCAAAAAGAGAGAAGATAATTACTTAAGGTTCTCTCTCTCAAAAACTCTTGTTAATACTAAAAATGAGTACAAAGTACAAAAAAAGCCTATAGGAATTATATTGCGTAACATAACATTGACCAATTAGCAAGTAACTCTAATTTTGTTAGTCCTCAAGAACTAATAAGTTTGAAGAGGGAGGTCATGTATAGGTGTAGCTCATTATTTTGTAGTACAATATGTAGCCCTTACTAAAGACAAATTATTCGATATCATCAGCCAATCCATATAGTCAAGATAATAGAGTTATTGCTTTGTACAATGGTAAAAGCTCAAATTGTCGAAAGTAAGAATTAAGGTTCAAGTTTGAGGAAAGCACTTCTAAAAATAAAGCCAGATTAATGTTTGTACCTAGTCCATTTCTCTCAACACCCTGAACTGACTCATCAATAGGAACTGCTATTTTTTAAATAAGTTGAGTGCAGACAAGATGAGCTTGATAATGAACTTGACAAAGTACAAAAATCATAAGAATGAAGCGAAGGATAAATTTCATACCCCATTGCTGGATAGTCCAATGTTGCTAAAGAATCCATTTGGCAAGCTGAAAGGCGAGCTAAGCCACCATTACCAAGGGCCGCATCTCCTTCCTTGGAACACAACAGATAGATTACTTTTGTATCAAATAGAAACAAAGAATAGTCAAATTTAGAACAAATTTGTAGAAAGGCCAGGAAGAAAAGATAAAAAGAGAATAAAATTGAACTGTTTAGTTTCTCGCAAGAATTAAGAATATGAATCTAATTTTACCATGAGACAAGAAAAAATTCCCCTTCCAATTGACAACTGGCAAGCACAGAGTCACAGACACACCTCCTAATGTGCCTTGTCCATGTTTGACATGTGTCAAACACTAACACTTGTTAGACCCACACAAACATGTGTTGGACACACATCCAGACGTGTTCTATTATTTTGTTATACTTCTGAAATTGGACATTCTTTGGGCACATGTGAAACATGTGTCTATCACCTAGACACATGTGAGACATTCAAGATTTAGTCACAAAATTGAAGAGTATAAAATAGAGGATAAAATTGAAATAAAACTATAGATTTATACATATTGGTCACTCCTTTAGGCCTTTTAATATTTGGCATCTAAACTGTGGAAAGTTTAAATTGGTTTGTGAGCAGTGTTAAAACCTATCACCTACTTCACCCACTTAAACCTACTCCACTAAACCTCACCCACTACACCACTACCACCTCACCTACTCCACTAAACCTAACCCACTACACCACTACCACCTCCACTTCACCTACTTCACCTACTCCACCTACCACCTACTACCACCTACTCTTCTATATATATGAATCATTGTAACATTCAATACATCAATCAATAATACATACAATTTATTCTCTCTCTATTTCTCTTTATACATTAAATTTTACAAGCAGCTAAGGCTTCCAAAAGTAAGACTTCAGGAATTTCTATTTCACTTCTGTTTTCAACATATAAATGTGAAAAATGAGTTCCAATGTACACATGTTGGACACCTGCCCAAACCTTGTCCTATTATTTCATTTATTTTTTTAATCTAGACATGCTTCGAATACAGGTGGGACACACCAATCTAACATCTGGATGCGTGTGAGACACATCCAAGATTTAGGCACAACTTTGAAAAAAATTAAAATGGGGTCAAAAAATAAAACATTTACACTTCAATTCGTTTGTGAATACTCAATGCTTCCAAAAGTAAGACTTCAGGACTTCCCATTCCGACTTCTTTCCAACACATAGACACAAAATATGAATTAATTCTTATTAAGTTCAAGTGATGGATAAAAACTAAGTTGTGATGTCAAATAAATGAATAATATTTATTTATGGCCGTGTATCCATCATGTTTGTGTCCTAACTGTTTAGAAATTGCCTTGTCAGAATCTTCATATCATTTTAAATATGTATACTGTGTCCATAACTATGCTTCGTAGATTGACAATTAACATGATACATACTTCTCATTTCAGGGATTCAAAACAAAAGAATATCATGTTTTGCATTAAACATGAGTTTCTTTATATATCAAGAGGTAATTTTAAAACACAAATGCAGGAAAATCAGAACTTCGACTGAACCTAAATTCCTGTCACTGCAAAGTGGCAACCTCACATGTAAGGTAGTAAATCTCAACCAAACAACTAGCATGTGTTTTTTGATTGCAAAGTAAAACTAATGTGCAAAAGCATCCTCAAATTAATATATTAACATGCATTTAAATATATATATATATAAAATTAGAGTTTCAAAATTGAAAATGATTGTTTAGGGAATGTATTATTATAATCTGTCAAGTTTTGGAAAATCTCACATGTAAGGTAGTAAATCTCAACCAAACAACTAACATGTGTTTTTTTATTGCAAAGTAAAACTAATGTGCAAAAGCATCCTCAAATTAATATATTAACATGCATTTAAATATATATATATATAAAATTAGAGTTTCAAAATTGAAAATGATTGTTTAGGGAATGTATTATTATAATCTGTCAAGTTTTGGAAAATCCTCAACCTTCAACACACTTCACCAAGGAATTTAAAACTTTTGAGGGTTTACTTTCTTTTGGTCATAACATCTTCTCGACTAAATCCTCTATGTCAAAGGTAACAAGAGCAATTTCAAATAATTGTTGCATAAGCACTCCATAGATCCACCATATTAATACGTTCGTTGCGTAATGCAGAGCAAGCAAGAGAACAAACCACACAATGCCAACCTGCTCGGCCAAGACTTCAAACTCAAAACCAAGCTGGCTTAGAGCAGCAGCGTATTGGGCCCGGACGCCAAGATTTATAACGCTATTTGATAAGGAACGACCTGACAAAAGAATGTCGCTTGTTATTTTAGTAATAATAACAATACTACAATTAGAAAAAATAACAATACTACAATTGAAAAATGAATCAGTTAATAAATTGGGCTGTGGTGGGTGATGACTTTGTCTGTCTTTGGTGTGGTTTGGGTTCAACATCGGGGTGTGTTAGAGGTCTTGCAGAGTTGGGCTGGGGATCAGGTTGAGCGGCGGCGTCAAAAGGCGTGGGCTCTTACTCCTTCGTGCATAATGTGGCTGATATGGTTGAAGCGTAATCGGCAGATTTTTTTGTTGACTGTTTTGTATAGTTGGGTTAGTGGGAGGGTGGAACCAGATGTGTGATTTGTTGGATGACTTGATTGGTTAAGAGTTTTTTATTTTGATTTTCTCATTTTTGTATTCTTTTGCATCACCTTGATGCCTTTTTCTATAAAATTGCATTTATTTGTCAAAAAAAAAAAAAAAAAAAACAATGTATGATATCAGCTTTCATCAACTACTGAAAGATTTTGGTGTGTGTGTGTGTGTTATACAAACAAGCATACAAAAGTCATTACGGCTACTAAAATTGATTTCACCACTCTTTCTTGATAGGCAAAATCTGTTCAGAACAATGAAAGAGAAAAGGTGTATAAATACCCATTAGAAACTCAAGTGAGAGGAAGTATAGGCGCTTAGGGTCTTTCTTCTTAAAGTATTGCTGAGTATCATGCCACCTCTCAATTAGCCGATCCCTCACACTGTGTGATAATGCCTGCAAATATTATTGTCGAAATCAGCTATATGATTTTCAATCTTACAAGGTATGACCATAAGGAATGCAGAGAAGTAAGATGTTGGACAATGTTTACTTCATAAGAATATGATGACAGGCGATTTAACCAACAGTGGGCAGAGCAAAAACCAGGACTCCTCCATTAGGGGGGCCAAAAAAAAAGGCATGGGGCAGATTTTGTTTGGCGGATCATGAATCGGACCACGTTTAAACAGATTAAATAATTATTAAAATATTAATTAATATAGGCGAATTGACCGAATCAAAACCTATAACAAACTAGTCTCAATTTAGACATGTTGCCCACTTCTCATAAGCCTGTGCAATTTGAATATCAAAAGAATTATTTTAGCCACTTCTTCTCATCGCCTTATTACGGATCAAAACAATTGGCAATTGGGGTTGTTTTTCGTGACCAAACAATGTGATACCACCATGCACTGGTGCATGAAAAGGGAGAGGCGATGCTCTGTGCTGGGGCTCTCAGAAGCAGAGATTTCCCAATATCATGCAAACAATAGCTAGGATTTCCAAAAGAAAATGTCATTCATTTGATGAGAAATAAAAACGAAATATTGGAAATTTGAGTGGCTAAAGCAGAAGCAGCTACTTTTGAAGTAACAAAAAGAAAAGCAAAGTATTTATGTGTGTGTTAGGGGAAAAAATAAAATCCCGCCCATAAAATACTCTAATACCCCATTAAAAATATGAACTCATGTCTTGTGTCAAACAATATTTAATGTGGTTCGGCCCAAATGCCTACATCGACAATAGAGAGGTAAATTCACTATAAACATAGAATAGAGAGTAAATGTCAGATGGCCAAAATACGCAAAACACACACTACTACCCGAACCCCATGTCAAGGTAATTGAGCCATTTCTCACCCCGGTGTTACTGTACTTTTCCCTCACCCATATATCTCCATTATCCATTTCCACATCATTCTCTCTCACCCCCATAGGAGAGACTCTTCCCCTTTCTCAATCTCAACTCAACTCATAAACCCATATTTATATACATAACAAAATAGTTGAGGAGATGCACAAAATAAATACCCTTTGAACTTCCCATAACCTTGGCTGCCGAACTCCATATAATGCATGCACTTTGCTCAATACAACTGCTTCTCCAAAACTGTGCCACCAAGCTAGCAAGCTCTCACATAACAATAAATATAGATATAGCAATTGTGCATATTGTGAGAATATATTGTATATATGGCATGTTGTGTATATATGGCATGATTGTGTAAATAGAAATTAGTTTGTATTTCCTTTTTCAGTCATAGATTTAGGGCTATATAAACTGATGAACTCTTTGTAAATTGCTACAATTCAATATACAAAAAAGCTTTTAGGAATCTTACATGGTATCAGAGCAAGGCCTAAAACCCTAGCCTCCCTTAAATCTTTTCTGGTTCGTTTGAGTTCTTTGGTTCTGCTTTTTGAATTTGTGCAACCCATCTGAGCTTGAATCGCAACCTATCAAGTTGCGAATCATTTGAGTTTGAATCGCACTCCCCAGATCACGATTCTCTAGTTCGTCTGCTTCAGCCGTCTCTCTAATTCGTCTGGTCGTTCAGTCGTTTTCAGTCATTTGCTTCGACCCTCTCTGGTTCCTTGTTCATTCTGGACCTCGCGACATATCTCTCTTTCTCTTGTCCATCGTTGGTTGCCTTCGACGTGGTTGGGTGCATCATCTGTCCGTGATTGCTGATCTTCGATCACTAGCTCCATTCGTAATACATCGTCTGCACAATCGCCTCTCATGCCGAAGGATTTGACCAAAGTGACTCGCCTCTTCTCTATGTTCGACCCATCAGGATCTCTGTTTCATTATTTTGTAACTTGATTCAGGTTTGATCGTATCTAACCCACTGTGTATATTTGTCCCATTTAGTACTGTTTGCTTGGGTGTTCTGGAGTTTCTCCTTTATTACTTTTTTACCACAGTTTGTATCTCTGGTTTTGGTTGGACCCATTTGACTTCTAATATTATGAGTGTATTCGTAAACAAGAAGGGGCCGTTGGCATCAGATGAAGGTGCCTTCTGCCATCAGAGGGGTCATTAGAAGTATCATTGTCACAAGAAGGATGTTTGTCTGCCTTGTCTTCTCAGCAGTTTCCGATCCAATTCTGCGCCCCTTCTCTGAATATTTTTCAGCCTCCTGCTGCATCTGCTCCGGCTCCTAATCCTGACTTAGCTTCCTTGAGTGCTTAGATTAATCAGCTTCAACATATACTGTCTGCCTCTCAACCATCCCTGTCTACTTCTATTGTTTTCTTTCTTCATTCAGGTTTGCTTGAGTCTTCTTCAGGTATTTCTTCGTCTATCTGGATTTTTGACTCCAGTGTCTCTCATCATATGACTCTCCATCTCCCCTTACTTCAAAATTGTACTCCTCCTCCCTTTCCTATTACTGTCAATGCTGCTAATAGGTTTGGTATGTCTGTTATATCTATTGGGTCTGTCCTACCATCTGCTATGTCTACTATCTCTATTCTATCTGTCTTTTATGTTCCTCAGTTATCTGTCAGCTTATTATCTATCAGTCAGCCTGATGCCTCTGGTTTTTATGTTATCTTTTCTTCTTCTATCTGCTCTGTGCAGGATCGGATGTCTAAACAGCAGATTGGGACCGGCCGTAGAGTTGGAGACCTTTATGTGATGGAAAGCTTGCATCTGCCTATAGCAACCTCTCAGACTGCATTTTCCTCTTTTCAGTTAGATTCTTTATCTAGTCCTTTCTACTTGTGACATTTTAGATTAGGGCATTTGTTTGCTGATCGCTTACGGTTTTTAGCTCAGTCGAGTATATTGGGTAAAATTTTTTCTAGTGAACTTACTGAATGTCGGGGGTGTAAACTTGCCAAAATAACAGCCTTACCTTTTCATAAAAGTACTTCTATATCTGATACACCACTTTCTTTAATTCATACTGATGTTTGGGGCCCTTCTCCTGTTCTCACCAAAAGGGATTCTCTGTATACTACGTGTCTTTTATTGATGACTGCACCCGTTACACTTGGGTTTATCTTATGACTCATAAATCTGACTTCTACCAGATATACCATACTTTCCAGTCTATGGTCACCATAGTTGTCAAATTGAGATTCGATTCGTGTATCGAAATGGCCATGTATCGAATCGCGAATCGAATCGAATCGAATCGTGAATCGTAAAGATTCACTTACGTTTTCTAAATTACATAAAAAAAACATATTTATACACTTAAATATTATCAATATGAAATATTTAGATTTAAAGTAATAAAAATGTTACTTTACATGATGATCACGTGGTCTAAATAGGTAAGACGCTTCTATGGCAAGAGATGTGGGTCCGAGCCCCACCGTGATCTATCATCCTATATTATATTTATGTATTTATGATATAATTTATGTAAATACACATCACAACATATATGTATGGCAATCCATATTCATTATAATTTGATTCTATGAATGTATGATCATGAATAAGGTTCACAACTTAACAAGTTCTAAACTTTTCAAAACTCTAATCTATACTTGTAAAGTAACTTGTGTCAAAAAGAAACCATACAAAACAAAAGTTAGATTAGACAAAGTTAAAAATTCCAAAAAGTCTTCATTTCTTCATTTCAATCTTCATCGTCTCCAAGGTCAATATCATCTTCATCATCATCTACCATAGTCACTTCATCAAACTCTTCTTCCTCTTCCTCTTCCCCTTCCCCACCTTCAATCAATTCAACTTCATCGTCATCTTCAAATACTTTTCTTTTTCCTCTATCGGTGGCATTTAAATTTCTTGGTCCTACATTAATAAAATTAAATAAGGTTATAAATGAGCAAGTAAATGTGAAAATATAGAAACTAAATCTTTAAAATTAACTTATTTAAAAATTAAAATATAGAATTATACCTCTTTTTCTCTTTTTGCTAGTTGTTGTTCCTTCATCATCTTCGAAGCACTCTTGGATGTCCATCCATGAATGATCTTCGGGTAGACATGGATCCTCTTTCTCGGTAATCCATTCATCATCGGATTCCATATCCAATAAATAAATAGGATCATAAGTCTCACCCCTTTCTTGTCTCTTAATTTGCCTTAACTCAAGTTGAATATTATACTTCACAAAAACCAAAGCATTCAACCGTTGTTGCTCCAACCGGTTTCTTTTCTTCGAGTGCCCATGATCAAAAGTGCTCCAATTTCTCTCACACCCGGTGGCACTACAAGTAAGACTTAGCACTCGCATAGCTAGCTTTTGAAGCTCTTTGCACTCTTCTCCGTAACTTTCCCACCATAGAGCTGTAATTAAATGATAAAGAGATGTTAGAGAATAATGCATGCCATTGCCAACATAATTGTTGTGAAATTGTGAATATACAATTTCATAATCAAAAATTTTACCGAGTTGTTTCTTTTCCCTTGTCAAGATGGCCATGCTCATACCAAACATACCCTCGACCTTATTGAACTTTTCTAATTGCTCACCAACCTTCACTCTATCCTCTATATCCGGATACATCCTCACAATAACCAAACCAAACCAAGCCACGCCTTAAGTCCCATCAAATGGTGTTGGATACATGAATCCTTCTTCTCCACGCGGCCCTATCAAAGGCCATTTCATTAGTCAAATTAAGTAGATTCATATTTCTATTTATAACGCTAGTCAACGTTAATCTAGACCTACCCCATCCCCTAACACTTCCATCTACCATTACAGTATCGCATCTCTTCACTACTGCCTCTGTTGGTCTCCGTTGAATATGACCAAACCATCTCAAACGATTCTCTCTCAACTTATCTTCTATTGGTTTATTTAAGGCGGGATGGTGTAAGTGGAGAAGTGCATCTAGGGTATTGTGCGATAAACGAATACCCACTAGACTAAAAGGTAAGTTTTATAGAAACCAATTTTCACCTCCGTATCCGCAGTGAAGTTTTCTTGATAATGAAACCTAGAAAGAAAGATAAATTCATAAATAAATTCCATTACACATTTTGTATATAAGTCACACAACACAACACAAATAATTAGACAAAAATAGTTAAAAACTTACATCGGATTAAAGTAATATGCCGCCGCATGCAAAGGCCTATGGAGTTGTAAATCCCATCTAGTATCAATAATTTCCCAAATGCGTTTATATCTGCCCCTCATATGGTTCAAGTTTGAAGCAATTTCTTCCTTCGCTCTATCCATAGCTTCATAAATAAATCTCATTGCCAGCTTTGCATCACCATCCACAAGCCTCAAAATTTTCACCAAAGGGAGCACACACTTCAAGCAATACTTGATTGCTTTCCAAAATCTAGCATCTCCCAAGATTGTTCCTTGTGCCTTTTTTGCATTAATAGATGTAGAATAGCTACTTCTAGCCCACTCTTCCGGTGCAAACATAGCTCTAAGTTGGAGCTTTCTATCTTGGAAACTTTTTAAAGTAAGGAAGGCGGTGGCAAATCTAGTAACCGCGGGTCTTGTCAACTCCCTATTCTTTGTAAATTTTCTGAACAAATCAAGCACCCAAGCATGCCTATAAATGTACACAGCGATTTCCTTGGCTTTAATTATTGTATCTTTGAAAACCGTCAACTCACCTATGTCACTCAACATTAAGTCAAGGCAATGTGCCGCACAAGGGGACCAAAACAATTTAGTCCTCTTCTCTTCCAATAATCTACCGGCACCCACATACGCCGATGCACTACCTGTTACCACTTGCACCACATTTTCTTCACCAATTTCATTCACAATGGCATCAAGCATCTCAAATAATTTCATAGAACTTTTAATTACACCGAAGGTGTCTATTGATTTAATAAACACCGTTCCACTTGGACTATTAACAAGGAAATTAGTAAGAGAGCGAGACTTTCCATCGGTCCATCCATCGGACATTATAGTGCAACCCGTCTTCTTTCATTCTTTTCTATACACTTCTAAACTTGCATTCACATTATTAACCTCTTTTTTCGAAAAAGATACTCTCACTTCATGATAACTTGGTGGTCTCAATCCCACACCATACTCACCAACCGACTTCAACATCTTTTTAAACAAGGGGCTTTTCACTAAATTAAAAGCCAACGCATGCCAATAAATGACTCTACAAATATCTCTAATCACGGGCTCCCTTTGCTTCATCATTTGATTCAAACTTTGTTGCTTTGCCCTCCCTTTTGTGACATACGCATCCATAGTTCCCCCTTTACTTTTCCCCTCAATATTTTTTTCTTCAAAACAATCAACATCTATAATATTGTCTTGTTTTTTTCCACTTAAGAGTTGTAAAAACATATTCATAATATCTTCAGAAACTAGACTACAAGCACCAACATTATCATGAGTTCCGGCTAAATGATTTTTCATTCAAATCACTCCACCCCAATAATCTTTTCCACAATAATTACATCTCAAATGCATTCTATTATCATCTTTGATACGGGCATAATGGTCCCATGTTAGATCTTGTTTCCCAATTTTTTTTTTGCTTTTCATATTTTTTTTATCCATTAAAAAAAGCAAAATATTTTTTTAATATCCCACCCACATAGCAGCAGCTTCAGTGCTTCTACAGTCCACAATAGACAATAAAGTAATGGATACTTCTACAGTCCACAACACAATAGACAATAAAGTAATGGAAAATGAGGAGTATAAAGTGAATATAGTATTTTATATTACCTATATGAAGTTTGTCTGGTAATACCTCAAACAAAATCGAAGACCCAAGAGACAACAAACTTTCATAAAGCTTTGAAGACTATACGAAGGGCCACGAAGCAGATTCCAGCAGCAAGGGACCACCAAACAGTGAGAAGAGGGACCACGAAGCTCTGTGTCGAACAGAGAGGTGAGTCTTTCTAGGGTTTTGTCTGTTGGGAGTAAAAAGAGACCATGGGTTACCTTGGTTAGGCTGTCGTTTGGTCTTAGAAGACCAGGCGATCCATCTTGTGCCAAGAAAAAGCAAAAAAATTAGGCCAAAAATTGAATTTTTTTCATTCGGGTCCGAGGAAACTGGGTCGACCCGCGACTGTAAGGAATCGTGCGATTCAGCAATTCTTCGATTCGTATCGTGAATCGATCGATTCAGATGCGATTCTGTACCATTTGCGATTCCATGTACCTGTTCGAATCGATTTTTATGTGTATCGAACCGAATCGTACGATTCGAATCGTGAATCGTACGATTCTAACAACTGAGATGGTCAAGACTAATTGGGTTCAAGCTCTGGAGGATGAGTTATTTGCCTTGCAGAAGACTAACACTTGGGAGTTGATTCCTTTGCCTGTTGGCAAGAATCTGATTGGTTGCAAATGGGTCTATAAAGTCAAGACTCATTCTGATGGTTCTCTCAAGCGATACAAAGCTCACTTGGTTGCTAAGGGTTTCTCGCTGGAGTATGGTATTGATTATGAGGAGACATTTGCCCCTGTTGCCAGGATAACTATTGTTCGTACCTTGATTTCTGTTGTTGCTGTTCGACATTGGCCTCTCTATCAGATGGATGTTAAGAATGCTTTTCTTAATGGTCATCTCACTGAGGAGGTCTACATGCGTCCTCCCCCTGGCCTTCTCTACTCCTCTAGGCAGGTTTGTCATTTTCGACATGCTCTATATGGTTTGAAGCAATCTCCTCGTACTTGATATGATCGCTTTCAAACTACTGTTACCGACCTTGGGTTTCATTCTTCTGCTTTGACTCTACTTTGTTTCTGAGACATACATCGACTGAATATATTTCTGTTATATTCAAAACTTCTTATTTTACAAGACCAAATGACACTCCTTATATAGGAGATATTACAAACATCATTATAACTTATTATATGCCACTTACATATTATATATTACCACTATCTACCACTATCATATTATATGCATGCTACTATTTACCACCAACACCACTATCATATTCTATACATGCCACTATCTACCACCAACACCACTATCATATTATATGCATTAACACAAATTTCCAGCAGTTTCGAACTGAAATCAGACCGAAATTAATGAAGCGTCGCTTCGAATTGCCTTTCACTTCGTCGCCTAAGCCTCGCCTTATGCGCTTCGACTTCGCCTCACCATTTCGCCTCACCTCAGTGAGTATGAAGCGCTACATTGTTGCCTCGCCTCGCTTAGCGCTTAGGCGAGCGCTTAGTCACGCCTCTAATAACACTGGTTTGGGTCTGCTTGTTTTGTCCTTTTACCTCGTAAAGATAAGACCAAACTTAATGTCCGGTCTGTCCTATGTGTCTTTTTGGGTTATAGTCTCACTCAAAAAGATTATTGTTGTTATGACCCTGTTTCCCGTCGCCTTTATGTCTCCCACCATGTTGCCTTTCTCGAACATCTACCTTACTTTTAGCTTCCTCCTCTCACCGCCCCAGTTTCCAAGAGGATTTGGTTCATATTGATCCATTTCCTTCTAAAGTCCTGTCTGACGAGTACATCTCCACTGTTCCTCATGAGCTTGTTCCATCTTCTCCTCTTGTTTCACCTTCGGTTGCTTCTCCTCCTCCGTTGTTAGTTTGTTCTCATCGCAAGGCTCCTCTTTCACCAGTTGTCTCTACCCCTGCTGTTGATCCTCCTACTTCTAACGACTCTGATCCTGCTGCACACCGATATCCTACTCGTGAGCGTCATCCTCCAAACAGGTTGGGTTGGTTTAATATATGTTTTTCTACTTCCTATCGTATTTTTTTATCTGTTATTCATTCTTTTCAGAACCTCAGTCTTACACGGAGGCCTATCAAGATCCTAATTGGGTTCAAGCTATGGAGGATGAGTTATTTGCCTTGCAGAAGACTAACACTTGGGAGTTGATTCCTTTGCCTGTTGGCAAGAATCTAATTGGTTGCAAATGGGTCTATAAAGTCAAGACTCATTCTGATGGTTCTCTCAAGCGATACAAAGCTCGTTTGGTTGCTAAGGGTTTTCTCGCTGGAGTATTGTATTGATTATGAGGAGACATTTGCCCCTGTTGCCAAGATAACTATTGTTCGTACCTTGATTTCTGTTGCTGCTGTTCGACATTGGCCTCTCTATCAGATGGAAGTTAAGAATGCTTTTCTTAACGGTCATCTCTAGGCAGGTTTGTCATTTTCGACGTGCTCTATATGGTTTGAAGCAATCTCCTCGTACTTGATATGATCGCTTTCAAACTACTGTTACCGACCTTGGGTTTCATTCTTCTGCTTTGACTCTACTTTGTTTCTGAGACATACATCGACTGGTTTTGTTGCTCTCTTACTCTATGTGGATGATATGATCATCATTGGCTCTGACTCTTCTGCTATCTCTTTGGTCAAGCAACATCTCTTCGGTCAAGCAACATCTCTTCTACACCTTCGAAATGAATGATCTGGGTCCATTGCGGTATTTTCTTAGTATTGAGGTTACTTCTTCTCCAAAGAGCTATTTTCTGTCTCAGGCCAAGTCTGCTAATAGGGTTATTCACCATGCCGGTCTTACTAATACTAAGGTTTCTGATACCCCTATTGAGCTTAATGTAAAGCTCAACTATACTGATGGTGTCCCTCTGAATGATCCCACTTTCTATCGTGAACTTGTCAATTGTTTAGTTTATTTGACCGTCACTCGCCCTGATCTTGCTTATGTTGTTCATGTGGTTAGTCAGTTCGTTTCTGCTCCTCACTCTACGCATTGGGCTGCTTTGGTTCGCATTCTTCACTATCTCCGAGATACCATCTTTCAAGGCTTACTGTTGTCCTCTACTTCCTCTTTAGACTTGGTGACCTATGCTAATTCCGATTGGGCTGGTGATGTTAATGATCGTAAGTCCACCTCTGATTTCTGTATATTTCTTGGCGATTCCTTGATCTCTTAGAAACGCAAGAAGCAAACTGTTGTTGCTCGCTCTACTGCCGAAGCCGAGTACCATGCTATGACTCATGCTACTGCTGAGCTTGTTTGGCTTCACTGTCTTCTCTCTGATTTGGGTGTACCTCAATCTTCTCTGACCTCACTCTATTGTGACAACCACAGTGCTATTTAAATTGCCCACAATATTGTCTTCCATGAACGGACGAAACACATTGAGATTGATTGTCACTTTGTCCGACGGTGTCTACAGTCTGGCTCTATCTCGCTTCTTTTTGTCTCCTCGGCTTTGCAATTTGTGGACTTCTTCACCAAGACGCACACTACTGCTCGGTTTCAATTTCTTCTGAGCAAACTCTCAGTGTTTTCTACTAAAACACCTTGAGTTTGAGCAGAGGTGTGAGAATATATTGTATATATGGCATGTTGTGTATATATGGCATGATTGTGTAAACAGGGATTAGTTTGTATTTCCTTTTTCAGTCATAGATTTAGGGCTATATAAACTGATGAACTCTTTGTAAATTACTACAATTCAATATACAGAAAAACTTTCAGGAATCTTACACATATATCCCAACCACATTAAGCATGTACACAAATATTCAAAAAAAACGTTATGCCTTTTCCTTTTTTCAACCAAAAGGCTACTGGAAGAAAACCCAATTTAATATTAATAAATATTTTCCCATTTCATATTGATAGAAAATCCCAACATTATGCTCATAAAGCTTCACAAGTGATCCAATTAAAAAACTATAGGAACCCACATAAAAACCCAATCACTTTCGTCTAGCAGAATTTCACTGATTTTAGCAACAACAAAAAAAAACAATTGATATGATTTCACACCAATAAAATGACTAAATTTTTTGTTTATTGCAAGATTTTTAAGAATGGCTTTTAACATGAGGCCTGATTGAAAATTTTTGGGAGGCATTACATGAGGCATTAAATTTTGAAAGGTAACCTTATACAGAGTAGGCTTTTCAAAAAATTTGGAGGTACCAGATTGAGTTTGGGGGGCATTGTGCAATGTACAAAATTTTTTGAAAAGTTAATTCATATAAAATTGGGCTTTCCCAAATTTTGGAGGGGCCAGGACCCCCTTTCCTCTGCCCCTGCAGATGGTAACATAAGATTTTCTTTGTCAATATTCCACAACCATAAGGCTATGTTAGTTCTCATGAATGTTTGAGAGCATGTATGGTGAAAATGATAATTTTGGAAAAGAATCATGTCACTCATTTGAAATAGCAGAATGATCAGTCGCATGAATCAAGCACTTATCCTGCATACCAAAGGTCCAAAGCCCAAAGAAAAGAGGAGGGTATCATAGCTAGATGGAAAAGCAAAACATAGAGTCACGCCTTACATACATTGTGGTTTAACTTCTCTCTTGCTCAATTTTCTGGAGCAATATGATTTGAAAATATATATATATCAAACAGAACCTTTAGGCATTAACCTAAGAAATGCAATTGTGTGATAACATGGCATAAAATGAAAATGATGGTTTACAAGTTCCAAGTAATTTGAAAGTATGCATAAAATAACTCCCTACGGACATTGCGGTTTAACGTCTCTCTCACTCAATTTTATGGAACAATTTGATTTGCAAAATATCAACCAGAATAGGCACTCACAAATTTTTATTTTTCCAGAAGGTGGATTTATTTTCTTATGCATAAAATAACTCCCTATGGACATAGTGGTTTAACTTCTCTCTTTACTCAATTTTATTTAACAATTTGATTTGCAAAATATCAACCAGAATAGGCACTCACAAATTTTTATTTTTCCAGAAGGTGAATTTATTTTCTTTAACAAAATGGACAGCATGGTTACACCTTTACAAGACTACAACTCTGTTAAGAAAATTGTGCTCTTCTTTCATTCTCTCAGACCATTCTATTGTTCTTTCTATAAATGATTGAATGCTTTGCACCCTTTGCATTTGCAGTTTCATCAAAAGTGAAGAAGATACAAGGGCTGCAATTAAATAAATAAAGGAGAAGGAGGATGGATACTAAATCCATTACAACCTGGTGCTTGCTCATGGAGGCACGCACAGACATAAAATACAGTATATCTCAAACATGAGTCGATACTTGAAGTTGAAACTCTAGTTCATAGCATGCATTCTATTTCTCAAACTAAGGCCAAACACCCTGATGATATGTTGAATACTAATGGTGTAGCAAAAGACGTGGAGGAGAGAAACACAGTGCAAATTAGAGCAAGAGATTATAGGTTTCAGACACCTTTAACAGTACGTAAAGGCCACGGTCAATTTTATAGGAGCTTAGCATATGGTACAGCATTAGCTTTTGGCTAAGAAAGATGGATACAATATGATACATTAGCTTTTGGAAGGGTGGAGTAAGGCTTTATTGTTACGCGGGGGTAGATACATTTCGGGTAAGTTGGTTTTAAGTGATATTCCTATTTATTTTTTATCTTTGTTCAAGATACCGGTTAAGGTGACGAAGGCATTAGAAAAGTTGATGACGGATTTTCTTTGGAAGGGCAAGGATGAGGGGAAGAGGGATCATCTGGTGAGTTGGGATTTAGTTTCGTTGCCTAAGGAAAAAGAGGGTTTGGCTATTGGTAACATTTTGGCTAGGAACATGGCCTTTCTTGGTAAATGGTTATGGAGATGTCTACTTGAGAGTAATTCACTATGGCATTTGGTTATTAGAAGTAAGTATTGGACTCAAGATAATGGTAGGGACTCACGGGTTGTTCTGAGGGGTAACTGTCGTGTTCCTTGGAAATCAATTTCGCATATCTACACTTGTTGGTCTCGTCACCTTTTTGTAAGGGTGGGCAATGGGGCACGTGTTCGCTTTTGGAAGGATGTTTGGATGGGCCAATCTTCTTTTACTTCTGATTTTCCACATCTCTATAGAGTGGTTCAATCTCATAACTCTTCTATTGCCTCCATAGCTTGTTCACTTTTGGCTCCAATTTCCTGGAATTTTGATTTTTCTAGAAATCTTAATGATAGGAAGGCTACACAGCTGGCGTCTTTGTTGTCCAGAATTGATAATTTCTCTTTGGCTCCTCTTTTGGAGGACAAGAGGGTTTGGGCTCTTCATTCATCTAGAATATTTTCTTGTAAGTCATTTTTTGATAAACTCATCGATAGTCCTCATGTTTCTCAATTTCCTTTTTGCAAAAGAATTTGGAACGCTTGTGCTTTTTTTAAGGTGAAGGTGTTTATTTGGGCTTTGGTTCATGGAGGCATTTTGACAAATGATACTTTGCAGAAGAGACTTAATCAATTTCTAAATCCTCAGTGGTGCATTATGTGTTGTAAGAATGGGGAATCCGTGAATCATTTATTTTTGCATTGTCCAATTGCTTTGACTCTATGGCATAAATTGCTTTTGTTGGGGGGTGTTATGTGGGTAGCCCCCCAAAGGAGTGCGCAAATGCTTCAAGTTCACTTTCGCGCTTTCGGAGGATCGATGAGAGCCAAAATTTTATGATCTAGTGTGGTCTTTGCAACTTTATGAGTTCTATGACTCGAAAGAAATGCGAGGGTGTTTGAAGATAAGTCCCGAGCGATAGATTGTTTATGGGATAGTGTGTGCCATTTAACTTCTTTTTGAGTTTTAGGGAATCATTTTTTAAGGGGGTCCCACTTTTTATATTAGTTAGAGATTGGTTGGTAGTGTGTGATATGTAAATGTTTGCTTTAAGAGTTTTTTTGTTAAGCTTTAGTTTTGTGATTTTCCCTTTTCCTTTGTAATAGGAGGCCTTATCCTTGCTTTCTTTTTTTGATTTGTCAATAAAGTGCTTTGTTGTTGATCAAAAAAAAAAATATGATACATTATACAGACGCTAACGCACCAATTTTCAAAACATTAAAATGCAAACACAACAACAAATATATATAATATATTTGTCTTTATATGCAAGAGATATATCATATTTATTATATGAAAATAATAGGAAATTATTCATTTTCTACATGAACAAGTGGGAATACAGAGCCCTAATGTGTCCATCACACAAGTTTAGATGCATCCTGAGTTGGAATTGTAGCTGATGGACTGTTAATTTGCTTTTAATGAAGTTGTTTCTTGACCATGAAATTGAAAGAAATAATGCAACACTTTCAACCAAATGTTTCATTTAAAAGAAGAGCTTGTTTATTTAACACCACCAGGGGGCATTTCATGGTCTTCCAAAATAAGGGCACCAACAACAAATACCAAATCAAATTAAGCCTTGTGTCCCAATCAGTCAGTTACAAGAATATTTTTTCACCATTCAACTCTATCAAGGGCTATATGCTCAATAAAATAAAATAAATTTATATAAGTAATTTTTTTTCACTACCATGTCCAAAGTCCACTTATACTTAGGTCTTCCCCTCCCCATAACATTTCCATCTATGGTGATCACTCTTCTTTATCGTTGCATCTATGAGTTTTAATTGTGCATGATCAAACCATCTTAACATCTTTCCCTCAATCTATCTTCAATAGGTTCTACTCTCACCATTTCACACATATATTCATATCTTATTCCACTTTTTCTTGTGTTCCCATACATACATCTAATCATTCTAATCTCATTTTACATTTATTTTTTAAGTTACCCTCACACTATGTCCCGTAATGCAGGCACCAACGACAAATGCAGAAAAAAAAAATGAAAAACAAAAATGCATATCTAACTGATAAGCATTAATATAAAGGGGGTGTTTGGGATGATGGTTTGAAACTAAGCAGGTGTTTGGCATGCACTAAAAAAGTGCACTTTTTTCGCATACATACACCTATTTGGGTCACATCAATCAACATCTCTTCTCTACTTTTCTACCCACGTTCTCTACTTTTCTGCATATTTTTTTTGTAAAAAGTCAAAAAGTGCACTTATTTAGAACATCTCAAATCATCCCTCAACCAATAAGACAAAGGGGTGTTTTGGAAAGTGGATTAAAAGCCACTTCTCAGCTATTAACCAACTTCTCTCTCACAAAAAAGTCAAAAAAAGTCAAAAAACAATTTTTAATCACCTTCCCAAAACACCTCAAAATATCACATCCTACTTATCAATCAATTACTTTTTCTCTCACAATCATCTATTCAACACTACAAATCATCCCAAACACGGAAAATTCTACTATACACAACCCTTAAAAGGGTATACCATATGCACCCTTAATTATGTCAAATGATTGAGAATTCTAATAAATGAGCTTTAATAGGGATGGATCCCACTGTGACGTGATATTTTGATTTTGATTTTATTTTTTTGTATTCTCTGCCAAAGCCCAATTAGATTCTAAAATTAGAGATGTATCGTTGCTCTTAATTATAATACACACCTGCGTGTGCTATAGACTTTCCGTCAAACACAACTTTTTTGTCATTGGCTAAAATAACCTAAAAACAAAAAAAACAAAAAAGCAACTAAAATAACCACCATTTCAAAGGGGTGAACTACGCCCACATTACCTGATAAGCCTCAAAGTCATCAAAACTGAACCTTGACCTCGCCACCGTGTATTCAACGTGATCAAGAATGTCCCTCTGAAGACTAATTGGATCATTCTTCAGAAATCCATCCATCAACGCAAACATCCTCTCAGCCTTCGCCTTCGCCTTCCGATCTCCAGCATCATCCCCCACCAATCCAGCTCTCCTCACCACGATCCCTCTCGTACTCGCCATCGCCATCGACGCCTCTCCACCACCACCACCACCAATGGCCTCCATCAATGCCTTCTCAATCCGATCCAAATTCTCGCCATCTTCGATCTTATTCCCATGCGAATCAGTGACGAAGAACCTCTTAACTAAGAAGTCACCTTCGAATTCCACAATGGCCTTCTCGATTCGAAGCCCTAGGACTTTGAAAACCCTAGTGATCAATTGGAGGAGACCAATCCTGTTCTTGGCTCTGATCACGAAGGCAGTCGAGTCCGAGACCGAGTCGTTTTCAACTGTTACAGTTGAAGTTGTTTGGGAGATTGGTTCACTTGCGGAGGCTCGTAACGGTTTGAGTCCATGAGAGGTGTGCGAACGTGAAAAACTTGGAAATGGACGGTGGAGATTGAGAGAGAACGGAAAAGAGAGTCTCGGTTGGCACAATCCGGCGGTGAGTAGAGGAAGTGTGGTCGCCGCAGACATTGAGAAAATGAGCAAATTTACAGAGAGTTCAACAATGCAGAGACATTTTGGGAGTGGAGAGAGAGTTCAACAATGTAGATATGGAAGTGATTAATGAAGAAATTCACGAGAAAAGGTGTTCAAGTGTCAACGTGAAAGTAAAGATTTTTCCAGTTCGAAAAAGGAATCGATCCTCTTTTGCGTTATCAAGGGGCGGTCTCATGGGCTAACCGTGAGGTCTCTTCCTTCTATTGGTGGAGAAAAATCACTCTCTCACTACATGCTGCTATCTTTGAATAGAGTCCAATTTGGCCCAGTTAGAGATAAGACTAGACTTGTCCAGTTTTGGCTACTTGATAATATGAATCATTTATATTTTTAGAGTTAAAAAAATTAAATTAATCAGATAATAAAAATTATAAATTTGAATTAATTTTATTTTTTTACTGTTTATTTTTTTATCCAAAACTTATTCTATATCCGATCAATTTAATTTTTTACATAAATAATATATCCAACAAATCCTAAAATATAAACAGTTTGAATTATCAATATCGGGCCAAAAATGAGCCCACAATACAGACTAGACGAGTCCAATCTTGATCTCTAACAAGAGACAAACTAGATCTCTTTCAATAATTTTATAATAATGGTCTGCACAAAAGTAATAGTATAAGAATAATGACAAAAAAAAAAAAATTAAATTGAAACATAGTATTATGACTCAAGTGATAATGGGCTATTTTTGTTAAACACGTTACCTTGGTTTCAAAACTTATCTTCTTGTTATATAGATTTTTACATAAACATCAATTATAGAGGTATTTTGAGAAAACTTAAAATATGAGATAATTTTGTGTTAATACCATCTTAAGTCTTCACAGATATAGTAGCATAGATTGAAGATAGATACATTAGCATAGATTGAAGATAGATACATTGATATTGATTGTGTGCCTAATAAAATTGAGACGGTAGACAAATTTGGCTTATAAATTGAGTGAGAAATAGTGAAAATTGATGAGAAATTGTGAGGGAAAAAAAACAAACAAACAAACAAATGTTAGTAAGCCTATTTCATTTCTCACCAAAAATAGTGAATTTTGGTATTAAAAAAAAAAAAAAAAGTTGGTTAGTTATAAAATATTTATAATATCAAGTTACCCCTTCAACTATAAAGAAAAAAAATTAAAAAAAAATAAAAAAAAAAATTAGTTATGTCCCTTTTTCACATGTTTTGCTTTGCCACTTACCCAAACATATGATGGTTAGAAAATATAATTATTTCTTTTATTTTTTTCACTTAAATGAGAGACCATAACTACTTCTTTTATTTTATCACCTAAGTGAGAGATCATAACCATTTCTTTTCTTCTCTTTCCTACAATCCAAACATATTGTAAAATTTGGAAACACTTTAACCTCCCGTCTACTTTTTTTATTATTTTCTAATTTAGACCTTTATGACGAAAATACTCTTTAGCTATAAGATAAATTACACTTTAGCCTTTTGAACTCTCACTCAATATCATCTTATCTCCTCAACTAAAAAATGCTATATTTTGTTGTCTTGAATTATAAATTTGTACAAATATAAACCTTCATATAGATAAAAATTTGACATGTGACTTGTATATGATATCTAAAATATTATATGACATGGGTAAGCCCATAAAGGTTATAGCCCACCATTAGGGCCCAATACATAATTCAACCACTAAAACCCAATGTTGCTAGAACTCAACATAGCATTAAGAACCAATGACATCTAAACACGTGGCAAGAGAAGGACAAGCCACAAAAGTAGACAAAGATCCTGCAAAGTTATTGCACTGCACATTAGCCATTAATGAAGCCCCTTACAGCATTTATTGCGATAACCCCTCCCCGTCGAGGCAGAACGGCCTCACCATGAACAAAGCAAGGTAGAGCATAGACTTTCGGCCAAGATGACAGGTCGGAAAGGACAACGAAATGATTACCAGAGGATATAAGCAGACGTCGAAGACAAACAAAAGGTTAAGCTTTTCCACCTCTAATCTATTTTTACATTCCATCTCTCTTTCTAACTTGCTTGTCGGAGGGTTCACTGGGGGACTTCCCGTTCCCCGTTGAACTCTTGTGCAGGTTCCACTGTGGGCTTAGTACCTCAGACATTGTTTTGGGAAACGTGGATCAGTCCGACCCGTTCCATCTAGAACATGTTGTACTATCAATTAGCGTCGTCTGTGGGAATCCTTTTGCTCCGCGCGCCAGTTGTGCTCATTGTCGCCGGAGACCCTTTCCCAATAACCCCTTCCTACCACTTACGAAGGTGGATGGTCACAACTAGATCTATGGCTTCTCACCACAATGTTGCCGACCACCAAGCCAACCCTCCCAATCCAAACAACCCACTGCAGTATTTTACCGAGCTCACCAACAACATTAACTGCCTGGCCGAGCAAAACTAAGCTTTGATTAATGCTCTACTATAAAGAAACCTTCTCATGCCTCCTCCACCACCTCTAAATATCCCACCCAACCAAGAACGAGCCCCGAGCCATACTATCCAGCAGCCCCATTCACCCAACTTGGAAGGCTTGCGACCCCCTCTCCCAGACATGAACCCTCCACCTCGAGTCCCACACCCATCGGGTCCCACACCCATCGGCCCCGGCACCCACCCCCGAGGGAGAGCCCAGTAGCGTCCAGCCGCCACTGCACTCCAGCAGTGACAACATCTCTTTCTGGAACGCGAAACTCCAAGCTATTAAGCTCCAGCTCCAAGGAGTCATGCAGAACATACCGAATAAACCATCCACCACAGCCAACTCACCATTCGTTGCCTCCATACGGGACAAATCTCTACTTCCTAAGTTTAAAATGCCCACGATCGACTCTTTCAACGGCACAACGGACCCAGTCGATCACTTGGAGACCTACAGAACCCTCACGATCCTCCATGCATTCCCTGATGAAATCATGTGTCGGGCTTTCCTCGTAACATTCAAGGGATCGGCTCGACTCTGGTTTAGTCAACTGCCAGCAGACTCTGTTTCCACTTTTCAGCACCTCAGTAACTCCTTCCTCAGCCACTTCATTAGTGCCCAGCGCCAACGGCGTCCGGCAACTCAACTCCTCAACATCCGTCAGACGAAGGGAGAGTCACTGCGCAGCTTCGTCACCCGCTTCAACACCGAGGCCTTGCAGGTGGCAGAAAAATGATGACAAGGTTATTTTCACGGCTTTCATGGCTGGTCTACGATCATCTGATTTCTTTTTTTCCCTCTCCAAAAATCCCCCCAACCTCCGTGGCAACCCTACTCTCCAAAGCCCAAAAATACATGAAAGCCGAGGATTCCCTAGCCGCTCGACAAGATCCTACAGCCAAAAACCTGACCCCCAGAGAAAAGAAAAAGGACTCAGAAACCAGAAACACCCAGTACAGTCACCAAACAAATCAGTATACCGACCGACCGCCCTAAGCCGACCGATCGGCGCCAGCCCGACCGCCCGACCTATTCGAACGATACATCCCTCTCAACTCCCCCATGGAACAAGTCCTGAACCAGATCCAACGAGATTATCCCCTAAAACGGCCCCAACCGTCACGGTCTCCTTCCAACCGGTGAGACCAGTCCAAATATTGCCGCTTTCATCAAGACCACGACCATAATACGGAGAAGTGTGCTAACCTCAAAAACCAGGTCGAGGGCTTGATACGTCAAGGCCGTCTCAATCGGCTCACGGAAGCCCGCCCCCAGTAGAGGCAAAGGACTGAACCCATCAGAAACAACCGCCGGCACACCCCTCTTCGACAACCCGCACATCCTAACCAAGGTCATGATCGCCATCCATAATAACCCCGGGCACAAGATAACCCCGCCTCCCCTGTTGGAGAGATCCGAGTTATTGCTGGTTGGCTTGCTTGTGGAGGACCATCCCACTCGGCTTAGCGATCAGAACTCAGAAAAATAAGGTAGGGCTCAGACAAAGAAGTTGCCACATTAGACCGCCCTTCCAAACAGCCCAAGCAGTGGATGGAGCCCATCACCTTCACAGAGGCCGACTGCACAGGCATCCGTTACCCCCATGACGACCCCCTCATTATCTCTATCCTCCTTTCCAATTACAAAGTCAGACGGGTTCTCGTCGATAATGGCAGTTCTTCAGACATCATCTTTCTAAATGCCTTTCGCCAGTTCAAGGTCGAGGAAGAAAGTCTGTCCCCTCTCCAAACCCCATTGGTCGGTTTTACTAGAGATCGGGTGACCTCTATCGGCTCCATCGATCTTCCCATCACAATCGGAGAATACCCGCGGCAAACCACAAAGTTGCTCACCTTCCTCGTCGTCAACTGTCCCTCTGCTTACAACATTATCCTTGACCGCACCGCCCTAAATGTTTTCCAAGCTATTACATCCACTTTCTATCTTGCTGTCAAATTTCCCACCGACCTTGGGGTCGGCACAGTGAGGGGCGAGCAAACTGTGGCCAGGGAATGTTACGCCGCTTCACTTAAAGAGGTCAAGCTAAAGGAAGCTATGATCATTGAAGGGCTTGACGTCAGGGACGAGGATGAGCTGGTCAAAGGGGAACCAGTGGAAGAGCTTGTCGAAGTCCCCATCGATCCTAGTGACCCGACAAAAACTGCCAAGATTGGCAGCCAACTATCCTTCTAGGCTAAGGCTGACCTTACTGCCCTCCTGATTGAGCACAACGATGTATTTTCCTGGACCCACTCCAACATGCCGCGTATTGACCCCTCCTTCATCACCCATCGTCTCAGTATTGAGCCCCATTTTCGACCCTTCCGCCAAAAGCAGCGCATCTTTCACCCGGAGAACAATACTCTTATCGCTTCTGAAGTAGATAAGCTCCTTGAGGCACAGTTTATAAAAAATGTGGACTACTATAGCGATCCCGGGTTTACCCTTGTTGTACAGTGATCCGGACATGTGTCCGTGGATGTTGGTAGTTGTTTATTATCATGTTTGCATCCTCTTTACTTTGTGTATTGAGTTATAAGATGTGTTGGGCAGGTTTGTTACAGGTTGGTTGTGTTTGGGAGCCTAGTGTTGCTGCCCAGATTTTTGGACCTTCGCTCGAGCGAGGAGTTGGTCGCTCGAGCGAGAGTGAGGTTCGTGTCTGGTGGGTCGAGCCAGGGTGGCTTCGCTCGAGCGAGTGTTGCGTCTGGTTCTGGACCTGAGAGTTGCCTTTCTTGGCTCGAGCGAGCTTCCTTCGCTCGAGCGGTCTGGGTTTTTCTTCGCTCGATCGAGAACTTCTTGGCTCGAGCGAGAGTTTTCTGTGTCTGGTCGCTCGAGCGACCAAGTCTTCGCTCG